AGAGGAAAATTAGAAGAACAAGAAAGGAAATTATGACATTTGCTGGATTGAACAACTGAGAGCAGGAGAACGAAACCATTATGAGTAACAAAAACAACAGTAGCTCATAGAAATTGAACGTAACATCGAATCAAGATGTAACAAGGAAAACACATATACTGGGAAAATGGAAGACTGAGTTTCACTGGTTTCGAAACAATTTCAGTTCTGAAAAACGGGATGAGTAGCGCGTACTTTTCATGGAAAGATAATCAGAAGAGGATAACATAACAAGAAAGCACAATTTGAATCTATGAAAAGCTAAGGAAAACACAAAAACAATCAGAAAATGACAAAGAAAGTTCGCAAGAGCTCGAAATTTTTTTGAACTTTTCCAAACTTTTACTGGTCCCGACACGGAAACCAAAGGGAGGGAAAATTGAAAGTTCAAAAAAAGCAACGCACAGAGCGTCATAACTTCGCCTCCCCCTAGGGATCTGACCCGTGAGGTCGTGAAACATGAATTGGTGTGAAGTACTTACGTACTTCCTCGCCGTACATCGTACAATGTGCGTTATCACGTCTAATTATCGAAGAATCTCCACCAAACAACTTTGTTCATTATCATAAAATGAACATGCTCTAGACAATTTTAGAACATACAGACAATGATAATTTCTTGCTTTGGAGATGGATGCAGCACTACATTGAAATGAAATTTAAAAAAAACGGGTTGTGAGCATTTGTATGTAAATACATTCGTGTTTCTACTCACGAAAGCTTGATCATATCATCTTTAGCTTTCCTGTAATAAAATAATTCATTATTCGAATATTTAGTAAATATGAGACATGGATACATAATTGCAGTGGAATGTGTAAGTGCTCTTTAAACAGAACTACCCTTAAAGATTTGAGCTGTTAGTAAAAATGGCAAGTGGAACTGGGGGTTCATAATTATGTAAATCAAAACTTGTTGTAAACTCCTGTTTCTATATCTTTCTGCTTTTTCTCATCAAGTTCCCTATATCGTTTCAATGATGCATCCCAATAGTAGACATGATCACCATTGCATTTAAGCAAGTCGAAACCTTGCTTTTGAAGATCGGTTTTTTTTAACTTGAAGGTTCCTGAAACCATAGTTGGATCAACTTTTTGAATAGACCAGCACCTGTTCTATCAACTTCCTTGCACATCCTCACAAAACAAGGAATAGCATATGATGCGAGGTTATCACATAGACGGGCTGCGATTTCTTCCAAAAAGGCCTGAAATTCTATTGAAACTGGGGAAGGATTATTTTACAAACTGTTTCATTCTCTCCATCGTTCAGAACTATAGCAGCCATTCCCGCTCTTCCCTCCATCTTAGGTATCTGTAAAGAAGAATATCGTGGAGGAATATTCATTCCGTATAACCTCAACGCCATAAACTGTAGCATCCTCAACTGATTTAACCGGTTGTAGAATTCCCTCTACTTCCGTTGTCGACACATTCTCACCTTTCCATCTATAAGTTTGTTCGTTATTTGATTCGCAGAATGTGGATACCTGTACGTGTCTCCCCTTCGGTCTTTGAAATACAAGTAACCTAGCTCATCCCAAAACAATATGTCACCACTTGCGAAAACCTTGAACAAGTCATGCAATTCAAAAATCACAATCAAAAGAACTCACATAATCTCCTTTCTTAACGACATCTCTGTAAATTTTCTTTTGTGTATCTTTTTCATCAACGTAGCCTTCAAATTTCAGCAGAATATCCTAAACGATCAAGGAAAACTGATAGAATCGATAGGTTCAACTAACTTCTTTCTTGATAACTCCTACCATCTCTCCGATTTCGCCAGGCTTACATTGAACACAAAGTCCAGTTTTCTGCAAATTAAGTTCCAATTGGAGTTATAATGATAAAATTACCTCGTCTCGGACAAGCTCTCCAGTTTCTTCATCAATTTTTATTAAACGAACTGGGTACAACGCAGTTAATCCTGGATAGATAGGGAAAAAACCACACGATCCTACGTGATTATCGACATTCACTAAAAAAAAACTATAATGAGAAGGGCAAGCCAATGTACCAATGTTCGAATTTCCTTCAGTGGACCCATAAAGCTCTCCTATTCTTCTAATTCCAAATCGTGCTACGAATTCTGGCCAGATTTCCGCTCTCAAACCATTTCCCCACATCAATCTCACTCTGTGTTGTTTTTCTAACGAAGATTCCGGTTGGGCTAATAGATATCTGAAGATGAAGATTTTCTAAAATTTTCCGAGGCAATATAGAAGATCACGCCAGTTTTTGAAACCGAGAGATCGACTGTCTTGGAAAGCCGAAGAGCAGCCTCGTACGTGAAACAATTTCTGAATTTTTTCTTGTTCGACACACCTGCAGATTTCTCCGATATACTGGCTGGCAGTACAATTGTACTTCACACAGTCTTTCCAAAAGTTACTAGCAGAGAATTTTTTTCTAATCACTGTAGTAGTTCCTTTGACAATCATTGACCCGATTCCTAGAAGCATTCTATTCATTGGATTCATACTATTCACTCCTAACCCATAATACCAGCCGCAGAATGATACAAAGGCATAGTTATATACACTACATCGTCTTCTCTTACACCGAAGGCTGAGCCTGAGCCCATAGCTATCCAGTAATACCTAAAACACTTATAACATCTAGATAACGAAAGCGCCACTCACCGGAAATGTTTGATTATAGCCGGTTTTGGATTGCCTGTTGTACCCGAAGTATAAATATAGCACAGAACATCTGTCATATTGCAAAGTAAGGGTATTATTCTAAAGAAGGAAGAGGTTTACTTTGAAAATTAACATCAGAACTGTCCGGCTCCTCTTCAGAAGAGTTTCGTAAGAGCTTCTCCAATATTCTATGAGTTTCATGTTCACCACTGACCAGAAGAATCTCTTGATTATCTGGTATCAATCCAGCAGCCAAAGTAGCCGAAAGGGCTGTAATACAGTGAGAAAAATGTTTTTCTTCTTCTTACTGGGAAGCAATGAAGTTGAAGTTATAATTTTCTGCGACTTCGCAACTGTGATAGAATGGGCAAGAGGTTCCAATTTCAAATTAGAATTAATGAAGGAGCTGACAACACCAATCTGTAATAAAAGGAGTTTCAAAGTGGATCGAAAGCATAATAGTACCTTAGACAATCCTAACCAAATGGCGAAAAAGTCTATGCTATTCTCTAAGTAGAGGGATACGACGTCACCTGATTTAAGACCTTCGTTCTCAAAAAAGAGATAATGAAGAGTTGAAATTGAGATGAAACAATTACCTGGAAAAAATTCGCATACTTATTCATCAATTTATTGAGCTCTGCATAAGTTAGTTTTCGCTCAGTGTCGATCTCAATACAGGCGAGTTTGTTGGGATGCTTCCGAACCTTAAAGTAGTCTTATCATCAGACCAAAAAATAATGATCCTTCATACCTGCTCTAAGAAAATGGAGTGTATAGGCTTATTAGATTTTATTCTTTTAACTATCTCCCGCTTGACTCGAATTAGAAGATGAAGACCTCTAAAATAAAAGAACAATCAGTTAAAGATAGGATCGAGCTCACATGAGATCCCGTTTGATGGTTTTGCGTATTTTCTGGAAAAAGTCCAGCTGAGTGATTCGAAAGCCGATGAATGCAATGGCACACAACCACCATCTGTAAATACACGGATAATTAAGGAAAAAAAGAAAAAATGAAATTTTCATCGTGTTTTTTGAGACATAAGGACAAATGTTCACCGTTGTTTGCACTTCACATACGAACAATATGAGAGCGGAATATTGGATACTACAACGACGTTTGAAAAATTGATTATACAATAAGATTAGAGAAACGTTCAACTCACCTTTCCCGCCCTACTATGAGCATAGACAGAGCAAAAACTGCTATACTGACAAGTGCGAATTTAGGCGTTAACGCCATCCTGAATATATTTGTTAATAACAGGCAAATAATAGGAAAATCAATGCAACACTCAGAACATGGAAGGGGAATAATGCTAGTGACCTACTCAGAGAGATAAAATAAATCTAGACAGCTAAAAAGAAGTGTTATAAATGGAGCAAGCTAAGAAACACTATGTTTCTGCCAGAGCTCAGTAGCGACAATATTGGATTAAAGAGCAGAGAACGACGGAGGTGAGAAAGAGAGTAAGAGAATTAAAAGCAGAAAACGACAACGCAAGCAGAAAAATAGGAGGTTTAGAGAAATGGAAGACCCGATAAGCTGTGCTATCAGTTTCATATTAATACCTTTCAGAAAACAATCACATTTGCCTTCCAAACGAAAAACTAACGAGTAAAGATAGGTTAGGTGATGAAAGCAAGAGATTTTCCTTTTCCCTTGGAGGTCATAGACTCATAAATTTTTTGAAAAGAATCTAAAGTACAGCGCGACGAGAATTGAAAACGAGAGATGCAGGAGTCATGCTTGGCTCGTGTTTGCTTTTCTTTTCCAACAGTGTTAAAATAGAATATCAGAAAGACTTGAAATATCAAGAACATACTTATTTCAGGAGAATATTGCGATGTTTACTTGTGCAAAGGACAATCACAGTCTGTGTTGTTATGAAGATTTCGAAGTTCAACATAGATAGTGCCGGTCAGCACAACTTGTCAAACCACGATAAAACAAAGATAAGCCTATCAAACAAATTGTCATTTATTACTTCTAGTCCTCAACAAATATATCTAATCAGATTACATGGGGTAGAACTCATTTGTTCCATCTTTGACTTATCTTCTAATATACACGTCTCAACACTGATATTCACCGAGAAGGGAAGATATAAAGATAGAAAACCTAATTTAGCGGTAGAAAGGTGGGCAACGTCTGAGGAAAATGCAATCCGCAATTCTGCTGAAGAAAACGGGTTATCTCTCCCCAACCAGCCTGAACAAAACACGGGCAGCCTAATAGGAGGTCCAGGCTATAGTACGAATAGCAGAGAAGACAACGGAAGAAAGACAAAGAAATTGCGAGAGGAGTTGGAAGAGAAGAGAACGGAAATTCTACGCATTTGGAAGACGGGATCATTGAAAGCCATAATAGGCAGACTATGTAATCAATGAACGGTGAAACATTCAAAATTCGTCGTCAACCATTCCATTTCTCTACAAAAAAAACTAAAATTTTCATTTCTCTAAGCTTTCAGCATTCCTCCTTATCAGTCATAAAACAGATTAACAAAATGTAGTCTTGTGACCAATGCTCTAACAGTCGAGATAAAAGATCTAGTTAAATTCTCTAAAATCACAAAACTATTCGAACACATAACTATTCGACCCGTGGGAAGGTATATGGGAATAAGGAGACGTTAATTCATTCTAAATACGTGTTTCGAGAGAAACAGTTAGAGAAGCCGTTCATAGAACAGAATATAAGCTTCCGCTCCTAGGACCTTGGACTCGGAGACGGCGCTGACACGACTATCACTGCAATAATACCTGAAGCGGAGGTTGAACAGAATTATGAAAGATCATATTGTACCATTGTCCATCTGGTGATTCAATAGACTCAGGAATCGGTACACTCTTCTCAATATCTGGGAATGATAATCCATCCACAGTAGATGCACGGGCGCTTTCCAAAAAGTTGAGAGCCTTAGATAAAAAAGTTTTCAGATCAATCAAAAAAAACCTACATTAGGAATCCGATGACGACTTTTAACGTATGCAATGTAGTGTCCACCTGATAAATCGCCAGAATGTACAACTACACCATATAAGGAATAAACTATCTTCTTTTGACCAGGAACAATTCTCCCAACATTCTTGCAGCAGAATGGTGCAATATCGAAAAGAAAAGGGAACTCAACGTGTCCACCCAATTTTCTCGTTGTTAGTCGCCCTGAAAGAGTCATTGGACAATGAGCTAACAACACTCAGATCATTATAGAACTTTCATTACCAAGAATTCTTTATACCGAGCCGTAGTTACCTCTACATCTCGCTTGTGAACAAACCAAAATCGTTAATTTACTTGTTCAAGACTTACCGGTTGCACCACTCAGTTGTTGGAAGCGTTTAAGATGAAGAGTGAGCACTACAGGAGGTTCGTATATCAGATATCTTTTCAACGCTTCAACTCGCTTCTTATCGTTACCTTTGGCACCGTTCTGTAATAGCAAGAGATACAAGTAATCAAAAAACCTCTATGATCTTACCTTCTTGTTGATAGGAGAGCAACAGTTCTCACACTCGTATGCATTGGGACCAGCAAGCACTTCTTCGGCAGTAAACTCTAACAAACAAGCGCCTAAACTTCTCTCATGACTGTATCCGTTAGGAGGAGAAACAAGTACTTTCTGAAAATCAAATTTCAAAAATCATAACAATCCGAAAAATATACCGTGAAATCTAGGCGAGTACCAGTACTCATGCTTTGTTCTTCTTCATCAGATGGATCAGAGATTTCCAGACCATTTAAATCTTCATTCAAATCTTGAAGTGATAGGTAATGAAAGAAAAATTAGGATTACATTACCATCCGTTGTGTCTAATGAGGAATTGTTGCAAGGCTGAGGCCGTCTTCTATTCTGATTTATATTCATAAATGAGCCGAACTAAGTAAAAGATGGTACCTTGCGATTCATTTTTTGAGCCTTCTTTCTCTGATGAGCGCTCAGAACGTTACTACTGTTTCCTATCCTATTTACTCCGTTATTGTTAGAAATAGGTATAGACAAATCGAGAAACTTTAAAAGAAACATGAGTTCTACTTCAGTGATATGAAACCTGTTCATTCCTTTCACTGACATGCGTGCAAACTGAACATCTTATAGTTTGAAGCAACGTTCCGCCAAAAACAGCGTCAAGTAAAGGACGTCCCGCGGCTTGTAAGTATCCTGATGATGGCGATTTGACATTTGAAAAACGAAGAACAAAATCACCTTTAGCTTTTTTTACTATTTCTGCGTCTAGTTTTCTTGGATTACTCGAGGTTTTTAATCCCAAATGATTGGCTATTCCATGTTTGTACCATTCCAACTCTTCACTACGTAAGCCATCCATCAAGTACCTGGAGCATGAAATGAAAATAGTTCAAGTATAACAGTAGGAACCTCAGTAATTCGTGAGCATCCTGCTGTTGCCATCCTTTGAACCTGGGAGCTTTTTTAGCTATTTGAGCAAAAACAGTTCCTGGCCCAGGAGAAGTTCCTGAGCGGAACTCTGCTAGAAAACCACGTAAGTTGTTGTTCAAAGGAGCATCAGTCTGAGTTATAGGAAGACTGGCAGACTGCAACGAATGATGTGAGCTCAATAGAAAAAATCGTTTCACCTCTAAAACTACTTCATCTTCATTGACAGTAACCTTTCTCCGGTCTCGGAAACATAAACTATGGACTCGACTAAACCGCTCGAAGTAGTATTGGAGATGATGTGTATGCATTATACACTGCATAACGCTATTATAAAAACAAGTATTTCCAAGGTTTTGCAGACCCTTCAAAAGGTTCTTCGTGAGACTCGAGAAAGATAATAAAATACCTTAGCAGGGATTACATTCCGATTGACTGTTTGACCTTTCTCATTATTAACTAGGCCTGTGTTTTCTGTAGCCTTCGAGCTACTAATGCTTTTGGAGTCGCCGTTCTCAACAGTTATGCTTTCGATTTCCAAGCCATTTGTGGATTTGACTTCATTGGAAGGCCCCACTCTATTTTGAGCATTTAACTGAAAATATTCTCCAGATATGATTGGAAGTGCTTGAACTCACTTTGGTCTTGCTGAACGATTTGAAATCATTGTAGAATAAGCGAACAGGATCGTTATTATCTTCTAAGGGTTCCAAAGTAGTATCACATGGATGGCATCTTAATAAGAACGTAAGCTCAAAAAATAATTTAAGGAATTACACTTTCAGACACCTCTTTTTCCTAAGACGTTTCAGGGGATTCATTAACAGTACAGTTTTCAAACGAGCGACAGATACAAAAAATGGAAACTTTAGGACGCATTCTGAACATTTACAACACGAATATTGAATATTCGAGAATAATTCGTTTCAGAGGTATTGCATAATTCAAGGATCGAAAAGCGGTTTTCTGTCTGTTAACTTCCAAATCATTTCGAAGAGACATAATCGTTTAACTTCTGAGAGATTTACTACGATGAAGCTAGAAGATCAACAGATGAAGGTGGTTGTTCATCATGTCAAATTAACAGGACGATCAAATTGCAAATTCTTTGAAATGTTTCATCTGTAGAACTTTGAGAAGAAAAGATGAGATGCAGTAAGAGGAATGAAGACTGTTCATATGAATTTCTTATATACAAATATTTGACAATGTTTTGAAACTTAAGGTTTATCAACCGAAGTTATATCACTAACCTGATGGTAGTCTTGCTGAGGTTAAAAAGGAAGGGATGCGGGCCTCCAGTTCTTTGGGCTTCATAATGCTGTTTCGCATGTGTATTACAAACTATCAAACCACATGTTAAACATAATTGAACTTCTGTCTGAAAGGAGCAAATGTCTTTACTCGGGCAATTAGTATGTCTTTACGTCTTCTCGTAATGCTCCTTTACCATTCTTCTCCAAGCGATCACAATCCTCACATGAACTCACTTTCTTCTTCAAACTACCTCTCACTGCCTAAGGATGAAAACGTAAAAAATATTATTAACTCTAGAACTTACTTTACTATTAATCAATGATTTTTTACTTCTATGTTGGCAGGATGCTCCTCCTTTCAAGCCTGTCATTATCTGTTCAGTTTCATTCGTTTTCCTTACTAAGCACTTTCGAAATATATCCAAAACCTGCACACTGACCAGTTAAGAGCCTGAGCTATTGCGAAACTAATTCAAGACAGAGTTATTACATACAATACTTCGAGACAATCTCAATAAATTCAATAAAAGTATGAACAATTTATTTCGTTGCGCCAGTGCTGTTACTTGACGTATAATTAGTGCACTACCATTATAACTCTGACAGAGACTTACATTATGAATTATTCAAAAATCGATATTAAACAGGCTTCAGGGAACAGAAAACCTTCAGACCATCTGCAGACTTCATCGTCCGACAATGACTAACCATCAAAGCATTCATTGCTTTATTTGAACTACAAATATCTGAAAGATACGGAGCCACTTCTTCCATGTGCCAAGAGCTTTTCTTTTCAAAAAGCAATTTCAACCTGAAAATCAAAATTAATTCCTCTTTTTAGATTTCGGTGACCTTTCTCTAGGATTTTCCGGGAGATCTTCAACGTTCAAATAAGAAATATGTTTTCCTTTGAAACTGTCTTCGAGCAACGCAATTCCGGCTAGGTGGACTATACTGAAACTCAAAAATGAAAAATAAATTTCACTTTGGTCATAACTCGAAACTCATTCCAGTTGGTAAGAGTTGGTTAATCTGTTTTTCAAAGGCTCCCAGATCGACTTTCGTGACTTGTCGTAGTAAATAAGAACTGAGTTCTCTCACAACGGCACCTTCCTTTAGCACATAGCCTGAAACGCTGATATAGAGGATCAAGATACATTGAAAAAACCATCAAGAATAGGTGTACAATATTGAATCAAAAACCATTGTATTATTTCATCCGTGATCGACTGAGAGAAGGCACTCCGTAACTCTTCAAAGCTCATCTGAAGGCGAATGAACCATGTACGGAGTAATGATGATTCTAACCTGATCGACATTGACGTTCGGAAATTCGTCATCATCATCGCAAACTTCAACTAGTCTCATAATCAATTTATCTCTCAAGCCGTGGGAGAGATATCGAAGCTTTCCTGAAACATATGACTTCCAAGATAGATATGCTCACCCCACCTTTATGTTCAACCACAGGCAACTTCTCCAAGATACTTTTCATTTCACCCTCACTCATTTGAACAGAATCCAATAAATCTGTGTACGCATATCTTCAAGTTATACTATTTGGAATCATTCATCTTGCCTTACGTATTCGATGAATCCTTTTCGTTTTCATCCTCTGGCCAATCATAATGCAACATCTTCTCAATTAATTTTTCACGAAGCCTATGTGATGATACGCATTCTATAGGCTTGAGCTCGAGATAGTGATTACAAAGTCCACTGATCTAAAGAAATTCAGGATATGAGCTTTCATAGTTGGTTCGATATCATTACTGTTCTCAGTTCTAAGGTATTAGGACCATCACTTCTTAGATCTTGAGCAACCTTTAACTCGGGACAAATGAAAAGAGAGTTAGATGTCTCCACTTCTTTCACTGAGTATGATCTATCCTCGCTACATAGAACAACAAAATCATCAACGTCTCCACGAAATACTAATCTTAAACTTAAAATTATCAAGTACCTCGTGTTAAGTGAACCTTTGGCCATTCTCAAACTGATCTGCGAGTTTCGTATCCACTTCTATCAACTTGTAATCTTCAGCCGGGAAAACTTTTGAGAATTGGAGCTGCTGAATCTCTGTCTAGAAGATCAGAAAAGTTAACAAATAGAAGAGGCCAAAACCTTGACATTATCCAATTCTTTGACTAAATCGAAGTACTGAACGACATTACATAGATTATTACGCATGTCTCCTAACTTGTCTAATCCAACATCTTTCTCATTTTCCGCTCTCTAGAAATATGTGAACAGCATTTCAATCGGTAGTGCTTACCAAAGCAGTAACTTCAGCTAGAAAGTTGGTTTTCTGTTTCTTCACGATAGTAATGGGTTCCTCTCTTTTCCGTTTTATAAATCCGTCCATCTGAATTAGAGTAGTTTAATACTGGAATTTCTATATTTAGAAAAAATATGGGTGAGTGAGAGGGCCAATAATAAGCAGAATGATTTGAATAAAAAAAGGCGCGAAAACTGAATGTAGGTCATTAATATATTAATCATCACTGGGGACTTCAGAAATAAAAGGCAAATATATCACTTCTCGAGAGTCATGGCCTATGTCGTGTACCATTAGAAATTTGTTCAAAAATGTTTCCCTCTAAAGTTACAACCGCTCTCTGCTTCGTGAGGTATCAAAATGAATCAAATTTTCGATAACCCTCGCTCCATGGAAAGAAGTTGCAGTAATCATAAGACAACCATTTTTTTGTGAAAAGACCATTCTTATCTTAGTATCGAGCAACGGTGTAATCGAACAAAGTACGTCAATGTCAACTGCGCACTAACTTTCATTGTAACGTTGAACGTTTACATGAAATGTATTATGAGAACATTATGTTATTTCTTTTTTTTTTCTAACTTGATAATTCATTTCATAAATTTCTTCAATTTCAGAGTCATCTTTTCTGTAACAACAATGGGAGAAGTAATCAACGATAAGACTGATCTATTGGACACTTTTCTCAAACTAGAGGAGCTTGATACGGATTTGTATCGGTTAGTACTCCAACTAATATCATATACCTTCGAATGCATGTGACCAAAACTGATAATTACAACCTGATAAACAATATCGATTTCTCGATTTGTGACTTTAAAAGTTGTAAGACCTTGCGTTGGACCCATATGACATACGTTGCAAATGGTTCCAGGGTGTATATAGTCACGCAATGCAGAAATTTAAACACATAATTATGTATAATGCTTTGATATCAATGTCAATGGGTTTATAATTGTGTGTAAATGAATTATATCATATAGGCGTTGCCAGCCTGTCCTTCAATAGGATGGTTTGGTGTCAAATGATATGTACAATCCATTTTACTTTAAGATCAACTCACCAGCTTCGAGGAAGGAAAGCGCACAACAGAGTTTATGGAGGACAGGTATTATTCACAGCACGATATGTAAAGTAATTATGTCGTGTCGAAGGTTGTGGGGCAAGCTCTGATGGCTGCAAATAGAACAGTCGATAAAGGATTATTCGCTCATTCTTTGCATTGCTATTTCATTCAACAAGGTTTTTCAAACTGGTGATTTGAGAAGTAGATGTAATTGTTATGCGTTTCTAGCGGATGCGGAGAGACCGCTAGTGTATGAAGTTTCTAGAGTGCGAGATGGGAGATCATTCTCCACTAGGCTCGTGAAAGCTCGACAAAATGGACAAACAGTTTGTACATGTTCTGTTTCGTATCAGGTTGGTCGAGCAGTTTGACCTCAAACGCTATATATTTTAGAAAATGGAAGAAGATTCTATTTCTCACCAGCAACAGATACCCAGTGTTCCACCGCCTGAAGATTGTGAGGACTCTAAGGATTTCATGAATCGGTATTTTCGAGAATTTAATATGTACAAAATATAAACCCACAGGTTGATAAACAATCCGGCAACTGTCTCCGAGCAAGGGAAACGTGCTGTAGCTGCTTATCAGCAAGTAGTACGAGAGGATAACTTATAATGCTTCTTTTCTTCTAGATATTAGATATTCCAAAGACTTTTCAAGTTCGTCTCATAACACCGCAGAAGTATGTGCAAGTTCCTCTGAATCAACCGATGAAGTTCGCATGCTGGGTTAAAAATAATACAGAAATCGGTACGTAAGACAGGCATGCACTGATATAGTTTTCACATTAGGAGATGATGAACAACTACATCATTGTGTTGCTGCTTTCATTAGTGATGTAGCCCCGGTGGGAACACCTATAGCTGCTCATGCTGCAGCTGGTTTCAAATTAGGTAGCTTAAAGAATGGCAATATTGACTTACTGTGTTATTGATAGGGATGGCTGCTTCATTGGATCATACTATGTGGTTTCATAGGCCAGATTTCAAAATAGACAACGACTGGGTATTGTACGAAACTGAATCGACAATAGCGGCAGGAGGGAGAGCCCTAATTCATGGGAAAATGTGGACTCGCGATGGTCGCTTAGTACTTTCAACTGCGCAAGAAATTCTCGTAAGAGGTCAGAAGAAGGATAAATGATCGTATTACGAACATTTATTAAAACAAACTACAAAAAAACAACATTTGAAGATTATTAATTAGGCTTAAGAATAAGTTATGATGAAAGATGCTCACACAACTATGAAAAGCTCGATTACAACAGCCCCGCTCTAATATTTTTGAAATGATTAGGCGTAAGACGAGCACATTAAGCATGTTGAGAAGTCCAACATTTTAAAACGTAGTTCCTGCACTGGTTTAAGCATTAAGCGGCTCAGTTAACTTTTCTGGAATCACTCTTTACACAAATCTTTGTTCGCGTTGTTTCTCACCTTTATCTTGTCGTGCACGATTAGAATTTTCAGCTTCATGTCGTTTGTAAATTGGTTTGAAGAGAACAACCAAAAAGAGGACAAGGGCAGAAGCGATAACAGAGAACACCTGGAACAAATTATATTTATCATTTATATTTAGATTGTGATACCATAACAGAGTTAGTTCTATCCTTAGGTTCATTGAGTGTGTCATTTTCATCCAATTGGCAAACCTAAAAACATTGTCAAAATAAAACCTTTCTTTGTCTTACTTGATGTTGGTAACGATCAGGTTGGAGGGGTCGAGCGAACTGCTTCATTACCATAACATATATAACACTTTGGATCTTAAATTACCATGAGTGTTCGAAAAATTCTGGGCAGTACCTGTCCGGACAGAACAATCAGTCCTGTGGAAGTTGCTTCTGAGGTGGGGTATGTACATTCAGATGCCAATTCTAGCCCAACTGGATAAGTTGCTAGACCAAAAACTCCAAAGAGCAAACAAGCAATTGCAAGATAAAATGATAGTCCACTGTGAAGGGTTAACTATGATAACACGATTTTTCAATGCACCGGATTGTCAGTAATTACCTGCATGAAGATCAATCCGCAGATAACAGCAGCCCCCATGGCAACCTTCAAAGTTTCTTCGTACATTTTCGTCCTATCAACGAAAACACCTTAACGATATAGTAAGTATTATGTTGAAAAGTTATGAAGCAAACCACTGATTGAAGCTCCAACGACTCCACCAACAATCATTAAAGCAGCACAGAGTCCGGCGAAAGAGTTAGAATATCCAGTAGGACAAAGAAGTTCCTAAATTTATGTACAATAGAACACAACTCTAGATTATTATAACCTGCATAACGGTGTACAGACAGTTGAACATTCCTATTCCTCCTCCCATTACAAGAAGAAGAATCAGATATTGCTTGTTGCCCAAAGAGGCTTTCAAGCCTTCCCAAAAGCCTGACTGTTGTTGAGCAGCACTGATTGTGGGAGGTAACTTTGGGTTGCTTCGGTTTACCCCGATCTTGAAAAATAAGTCTCGGGTAACTCACAAAATTCGACATACCGTTGCCAGAACCATAGCAGCGAACGATGGTACAAACGTAAAAATGTTGAGGTAAACTACTTGTTCAGGGTTTTTCACAATTTGCGGAGAGATCAAGTTAGCCATCAGAACTCCGAGAGGATTTGACATAACTCCGAAAGTAGTAGCCAAAGTTCGTTGATTTTCAGGGAACCAAGATCCTGCTACCTTAAAGAAGATGAATTTCTAAAGCGTTTCCTAAGAAACAAACTTTTGTCGGTAAAAACATGATAAAGGGATAAGCTATAGCAGCAATGGCTTGTCCAGTTATACCAACAGGGAAACGTAGATGAACAGGAAGGAATGATGAGGATAAACGAATTAAAGCACCGATACCATTGGTCCATGCTGATATAGAGGAATAAATTGTTTGCAGTTTTAGTGAGTTTACCAGCTATGAGCACAGCGGAACGCAAGCCGAACTTTCCTCCAGCCCACATAGCGAAGCATCCAACAGGAATCGTCATTATCATATACACCACAGAAAACCTGACAAATTTTGAAGAATGAACAGATGATACTGCTATTAAACAAACCAGCTTGCACTGCTTTCCCCGTAGAAAGCATTTACATAGTTCGACACTGGAGCAAACGAAATCCAGGACATGGTATTCGTATTGTTCAGAAGAACTATAACAGCTAGAACAAGCCATCTCTGTTTGTAAACTCTAAACAGAAAGAAACATAAAGAATTTTGAAATGGAACTCCACTTCAACTGAGGTGTCACGTCATCTTTGTCAGCAGCATCTTCTTTCTGTAAAATGATAAAGATTATTGAATCAATCTTACTCTCCCCGAGTATTTTAATTTGAAACAGTGTTAAATACCTTGCCTAACGTATTCAGAGGCACAACCTCCTCTGGTTTAGCTAAAGGAACTGACATGCGAATTCAAAAGAACAAAAGATTGGTCAGTTATGTGATTTGAATATGGGAATGTCGATAGGGCTTTTCGAGCGGTTGAACAGTCAGTATTGAATAGAGCAAAATGATTTTTTCGTATTAGTTCTTCATAAGAGGCGGGCAATGGGCAGATGAATAAGCAAAGGGAAGTGGGAAGCGAAATAATAGATTACAAGCGCTCTCCAGCAGACGACCATTTCATATCATTCGTTCACACTCACTTTTATTTCCTTCAGCTGAATGTTAACCTTCTCATCTATAGCTTCTTCGGTGGTCATAATTTCCCTGAAACATAAAAATTGTAGCAATTCGAAAAAAGGAGTTATAAGTAGAAGAATTTTTAGCGAAATAAGAAGTATGACACAACGGTGACATCTTACAAAACCTATAGCTGCATGTGTGTGTGTGTGTGTGTGTGTGTGCAAACAAAAGTCTATTTCGTTAAGAGTTACGGCCAATCGCACCCAATCAAAGTATTAGCTAAGTTGTAGAAATAACCAATGAAAAGCATTGAAAGTTTTTTTGCTTCTCGATCTCCTTATAGGAAGAGCTTTGATCAAACGCAAACTAATGACGTACTGATGAGGAATGAATGATCAAATCACAAGAAAATTCATATTATCGGAACATATAATAAAGGCACTAATATTGGTAGAATACATACATTATCAAGTAATATGCAACCTGATACGGATGAAACAAAAAGTATCTGTTGACCTCGAAAAATCGGCGTTGAGTACTCAAGAGTGTGCAAAATCCGGAGAGTGCAAAGTCATTGAAATTAGCATTAGAGCAGAATCATTTGCATTTAGAGCAATGCATCTTCATCATACAATCAAGACATGAGTCTCGTATGTGTGGTTCACAGTATTGATTCTGATGGATGAGTCTTACAATATATATTTATTACCATATTTCAATATTTACAATAATTCAATATGATTAGCGCTCACCCCTAGTCTTCTATAATTTGAATTGACTAAGGGAAACATGAATTCGTGACGAGTAAAGATACAAAGTGAAGATAATAAATCTGTTACGAGGTAATGTCAGGATGATAGTTCTTCAACAAGAACTGAAATATTGATTTGATGCACATTCTGTGTCTGGCAAGGGTGTTGGAAATGCAACTGGTGTCGAAAACTTGGTGTAGGAAGTCTCAAGCCCAAATAAAAAACGGCAATCAATAATCTTAGTTGGTAACAGACGGATACGCTACAAACGACGAATACTTCGACAAGTTGTATCATACAAATCGATTTCCAATAGAGTTCCCTCTATGAAATTAAAGAACAAAAGACACGCATAACTCTTCGATTCAAAAAGAGTAGTATAGAAAATAATGCCGCTGGCGCACAATGTTGCAAAAATGCCGTTTTAATCATTGTCTATACTACTGGGAACGAGAGAGTTAGATGTGGTTACTGACAAGTTGCGATGGAGACCGTACTCCTCAGCATGGCAACTTCTCATATAACTTGCTCATATTTGGGAGGAGATTCGTATGGCAGCAAAGGTATGCTCTCTTGGAGCAGAGATCTGGAAGAAAGGAATCCTTTGAGATTTTCTGAGACCACAAACCTCTCTTGCTTTTGAGTCCTCCAATCATATCGATTGTATCCAAAGATTATGAGAAAGGTGGCAAGAAGTGTGAGAAGAATGAAGAAAGCTAAGCTTAGAGAAAATCATTTCCGAACCGATTTTTCTCGACGTACCTGTCACAGCTTCTGAATCATAAATTGGGTAAGGTACACTGGTTTGTACTAACTTGAAAAACATAAAAAGAAAGAAAACTGTTAACAGATCCATCGATAGCGAACAGAATAACGAAGTTTCAGATTTCTACTGATAGAGGGAGGTCTGTTCGTCATCTCAGTAAAGAAAATATTTTGTTCATCACATGAGTCCTCTGTTTGAACTTTCACTTTTTAACATTGATAACGATCAGATGGAAGGGATTTTGGCTAAGTACTGCCCATAATCGGAACAAACATTTCAAATTTATTCATTGCACATATTACAATTTAATTTAAATTATAAAGCATTTTAGCTGCTTCGATGTCAATAGGTGTAAGTCTTGGACTGTTCAGATATCCTCGATAGCCTTCTTGCATTAGAGAAGGTGCAGAAAGATGAGGAATGCCAAGAGCATGTCCGAGTTCGTGAGCTAAAGTCCATTCTAGATTTCTACCTCCATCAGGTGACCTGTGAAAAACAAATTGTTTTTTAAGATTGAATTGTTTTCTTTCAGTCAAAGATACCATGGTTCATCATCATCTATATGAATTTCCCCTTTCTTTTGCTCGTCTGGATAGAAAGTGTGAGCTAGTTCACCTCCGGTGCCATCAAACGGATACCTATCTTTATGAGCTAACGAATAGAAAAAAACCTGAACAGTAAATTAAAATATTAATCTGGTTATCTATGAACTTTGATTTGAGCACTCTTGCTTTCATCCTTTAGAAATTGAATGGGTACAGCCTTGGACCAGATCCTGCAAATTGCAAAATAGTCTACTTGTTTCAAACTGTACCAACTTGAGAGCTTTGGTCATACTGTCATGCACATAACGCTCGAAAGCTTTTGATGACATCTTTGGATGTTTCCGAGCGTCAGGATAACGATATATAGTCCATGTTAGTTGAGGTTTTCTCCATTTTCCAAATCCTAGATCATTTGGGATCGAATGTACCGAACGGATAATCCACATGTACATCAAGAAATACCATAAAACACTTGAAACTGCTTGAGAGGGACAGAAGAGCATTTTCTAAAAATTATTACACTCTCTAAGAAGATGAACCCGTGCAGAGTGCTATGTAATTAGTAACCGCATAGTTTGTGAGCAGAAGCACGGGCTAGTTCATGGGCACCATCACAAGCACGAAAAACGAAAATCAAGAATTTGAAAGCTACTTCACAAACTGTTTTCATGAACAAATTGCCATTTCACTGCAGGGTCACACATTGACCATTTTCTGTTAATGGGGTTTTTCATTACGACTCTTTGAAACTAGTTGTGTCAGCGAAATTTTTGTTGTCAGGACCTCGAAGCACCGACTGCTAACTGTGTTTAAATGAAAAGAAAACACTGAAAAATAAATTTATAAATTAAAACTCTGGAAGAAATGAATGAAATGCCAATATGAAAAGATGAGTGGAGATAAAAGTTTAAACTCATTCTGTTCTAGAGAGAAAATGCTTATTAATACAATGAAAATTCTGTTTAAAGCATCACTAGGTACTACACGTACCCTTTATATCACACAGGGAGTTGAAATAAGTGACAAAGTTTGTACGTAAAAGTTCAACCCGATAGTATTGCGGGATGTTCCCAGAATATTAAGGATATGATAATCAATCAATTCACATTGGTCAGTACTGTGTTCTGCTAAGGAATATGTCAATATTACCCGGGATGAAGATAATCCTCAGTTTGTCAGACACAAATAGTTTTCGAAAGGAACTTACGAGCCAGAGCAAGAACTTCTATAACCGTTTCAGCTTCTCTTCTACACCAAATTGAGAAATATATTTTCGTAATACGTATGAGAGATCGTCTGATTTCTGTTCTTCGTCTATGGGATGCTAGACTTCATGTTCCATCACCAAGTGTTACTTTCTGTAACCCAGCACCTTGTGGACCAACAACTGCTGCTCCATCACGATCTACGTATCTTAAAAAGGGAGTACGAACTTGCTGGTTATGGCAAAAAAATTACAAAGCTAATCCTTCCGAGTCTTCGACCGGTACATCTCCTGATTCAGACAAACAACTTTCTGCTAGCATTTTATCTATGATTCCACCAGGATCGATCCTTAAATTGGACCGTTGAAAGCGTTGATGGTTGGAACACTACCGAGTACTCTGAACTCTCGGAGCACTGCTTCTATCTTGACTCATTCGTCGCAAAGATGTAGGGTTGATTCTCCTCTCAGACACAACAGAACAAGTATCTTCAGTTGTCCCAGAAGAGCCATCATTCGATATCACTTCTAATAAATATGAAATTATAAGAAAATATAATATGTTTGAAACCTGGGGCGACATCATTAGCAGTAGTAGGGCGGAACATAACTTCTTCATCTAATAATCTTCCTGAAGACACCGGCTCAAAAGCAAAATCTTCAGGAGCTTTTCTATCGAGAGGGTTCAAAGACTTATCGTCTGTTGCGCAGGCAATTCTTGGACTATAAGAAAGATGATTTTGGAAGCTACCACGGTGGAATAACTTACACTCGGAAATAAGGATCAGCACTTTGGTGGCACATAATAACTTTGACTTGAACCTTAGAATTGTCTTGGCGTTGATTAAGACCATAGCCATCCAATAAATACGATCGAGTAATACCTTAAAAAGATCGAGTAATATATTAAATCAATATTTTACTAACCTTCGACTCCAGAAGCAGCAAACTCTGATAAATTTATATCAACATAGCCTAGTTTGACATATGATTTTCCTCCTTTTTGCTCCTGACATATAATACTACACTTCAACATTCGCTCTTGAAAACTAACCTTCCTTATTGAAATTCTACATAAACACTTTTCTAACATTCCTGTAGTTGGATCTGATGAAATTCTGCATGAGAAGGACGATCGGTGAGACCAGGACGCACTATGGGACACAACCTGAACATAGCAATTTGAGAAACATTTCATTGCAAGATGAACGAACCTCTACGCGTTCGGTCAAATCTTCAAAGTTTCCGCCATCTAGTAATCTAACTTTCGCGAATAAAACAGCATTTACCAGAGGAACATCGCTGAGATTCGAAACCTTTGAAGCATTATGGTTAATCTCAGTCACAAAAGGAGATAATAGCAAAACTACCTGTAAATCAACACTAAATTTCACTTTTTTCCTCTTCAAAAAAGCCATTCTATTCCATAGCCAATCAATAAACAGATAAGTCCCTGAAAAAGGATTAAATGCTTGCAAATATCACATTTGGGGAAATATGAGAAAAAAACATTGCTGCAACATTTTCCACGAAAAGAATTTCAAAAGTACGTAAGTCTACGTAACGTAACTTTTCGCAAAACATGTTACGTACTACGTTCATACAGTGCGCCTTTTTATTTCTGCATGACGGCGTTATGTTGAGAAAATTATTTTGTGGTTCTTGAAAATTATTGAAAACCTTTTATTTTAAGCTCCTCCATGACAATGCGATTGTCGTGCTGTCAAGGCATAAGTGTGATGCATCCACCTATATATTCGTCTTAGGCAAGTATTGATTCTATAGAGTAACTTCCAATTGAGAAATATAAAGAACGAAAGACACAGTAAAGCATTCAATGATCAAAATATATCATTTATTAAAAGAAATGAGGGAAGTTGAGTCTAGCTATTGCTGTCAATATATTCTTAAATATTTATTTGTTAATATTTTCAAGAGTTTTATGAAACTTAATATGGAATGAGAAGAGAAATAGTCGCTGCTCAGCACAAACGACAGAAGTCTGCTATTTGTTCAACGAAAACAATCATAAAACAATTTTTGTATGAAATTTTGGAAATTGATCATTCCGTGGCTCAAAAACGTTATCAGTATTGATTAGAACAATATTAGTTCGAAATTCAAATATCACGTCGACGATTCGCGCAATATCTATGTTTCAATTTTTCCGCTTTGAAACGTCCAGAGCGGTTGCATTCGAAAGATTTAGTTCTCGAAAGGTATTAGAGGATGTTGGAGGACGTAGTTGAGTAATTGTATGAGGTTAAAAGACAATAAGTGAAAACAAAAGACGTATTGTGTTGTATACTTTAGATTAGTCAGTCAAGCTTATGGAAGCAAACTCTACCAGGTAATTCTTCTGGCAGAAACTAATACAGAAAAGAGAAACCAGCAAGGCTTTCTTGAGACGGGCCTACTGCTTGTTCTCTGTTCTGTACATAATTAAATCTAAAAAAATTATGTAATCAGATAATCCTCCTGTATTAGTGATGAGGAGAGAGTATAGAAAACGAGCAAGACCGACTTTAATTGGGTTAAAATATAATAATATGGTGACCCGCAACTATTCGAATGTTGATCTCTCATAATAGAAAGGGTCGATATAGAGTGAATGCTAACATGCAAAGAGAACGAAGACTTACCCAACTGGTGTTCGGTTACCATTTGACCGGAACAGGACATAATAGAATGGAGATTTTCCGAATTCAGTATAAAAATGGGTCCCTTTTGGGCACTCACCATGAGAGTATTGAAAACCGGAGAAAGTAAAAGAGAGAAGAGAGTGACTGACAAAATGCGATGATGAGAAAGAGCTAAAGATCTTGTATTCTCAACATAATATTTTCAAACATCAGCGAAGTGAAGAGCATTACAGGAGTGCGTTGAAGTTACAGTTGGGATGAGGGAGAGAGCTGTATGGGACTATATGCAATATGGGGAAAAGATTCAACAGAGAATATTGAATATAAAGTTAGAAATTGCACAACAGTTACGAAATAGAGGAATGCTAGAAAAAGAGAACAGTCAATAGTCGTAGACAAACATAATCAAACACCTGCTCACGTTCATAAAGTTTCGGATAATCAGTTTGAAACATAAAAGGTTAATTTTCCATTTGTGGAAAATGATCGTTGATTTCCGTGGAGAGAAAACTTCTGCTATGCTTACTCAAAGTCTTAAATCAAAGAGAATTGATGATGGCTTGGAAATGAACTAATGACTGATTTGTGAAGTTAGTAATTGCGGAAAACGTCGTCGCTTCAACAAGATTGAGAGATCAGCTGAGGAAGATAAAAACGTTTTTTAATGGAACTGAATGGAAGTATTGCTAAAGCGGTTCAGTCCGATCAAAATACGGGTGTTAGGTGTATGAGCAAGGAGAGAAAGCGTAATGATGAGACTCTAGAATTCATTGATCACATATGATAGAATTTATTGGCAGAGATTAGTCAGAAATGGGTCCAAGTTTGAAGTTCAAACAGCCAGAAAGATCATATATACAGCTAAGTCAACAGAAAAAGCTGAGAATCTTCCGTCTGAAGTGCTGAAATGTTGTGCGATTGCAATTGTTTAACCTTTTAATGTGTTTCTAATCTCATTATATCATGCAGTAGTGTTTGCGAGAGAGAATGAAGATAACAAAGTAAAAATCAGAAGATACAGGAAATTCTACTGTTAAACAATCTGTGAAGAAGAGTGAATAGCAGGCAGCCAAGGAGAATACTGCGAGAGCGAATGAATATTCGTTGTCATGGGTTACTAATCTCGTAGCCAGAAAGGAGCACAGATATTAATCGGAAGCTGAATATCTCTCATAATATATTTCGTTAAGGACTGACAGCTGTTTCAGATTAACGCTAAACCACAGGTTATTTGTCTAATGAGGTGTGGAACTGTAATCATTCTCATATACTATAATGGTTAAGATAGCAAAACTCACGAACCATAGGGATTCGAGAGGGATAGAGAAGCTCTAGAGAAACTACGAAGAGCTGTAAATAGACTTATTGTCATTACAATACACAAATCTTAGGCTAATTACAAAATAAGCCAGTAGGCTGAAAATTGAATCCGACGTGATGACAAAACCCAACTCTTCAGAATGAAATGAAAATGTTGCCTCAACATTCATCGTTTGAATTCATGTCTACTTGAGTAAATACACTATTCAAACAAGCAGATGTGAACTAGGAGAAAACACCAGAAAATAAACTTGTTGTTCCCAGTATATAGATAAGCAGAGCCATGTTACAGAATCAGGGAGGTTATAATAACGATATCACTCAAACATTAAGAAATATGAGCGAATCTGAAGCTCGTGGGATGGCAAGCAAGTAATGAATGGTACAGAATGCTTGTTCATGAGCAATAACTGTAATGTAAACATTGGCTTGTACAATTTTCATATTCATCTTCTTCTTCAGTCCTAGTTATAAAAGGTCGGAAGAAACGTATCGTCGTTTTGAAGTTATGAAGAACTACATAATTCAGCACGATCTCAGAAGTCAAAAAAATCAAGACTGTTAATTAACACGGAGAAAAGTAGAGTTCATAACGATGTATTAGTTATGGAAGAAGACTATCTTCACTGGTGATCTAATAGAAACACGCGACAGTCTATTTCATAAATACATACTGAAGACGGAAGTTACTTTTCAAACTGATTATCTATTTAATTGAGAGGGCGAATGATCAATGAGATGATTATGGAAAACATGAAAACATCACGGACAAAAGGAATACGTAAAAAAAAGTTCTGTTGTCCAACATACCAATGCTTGTCCAATATCGATTCGATACTCGATAAACGGTTTTTACAACTGTCTGTTGTCAATAATGCTATGATAGCTGATGTCGTTTGTCAACAGGTCAGTTATGTCTATTCTGAGAGTTGTCTACATCACTGTACCCAATGAAAATGTTGCAAACACTTTAGCTAGGTGAGGTTTACAATTTTGAAATTCAATCAAAGAATATATGATCTCAGAAGTTTCGTGGAGAAGAAGCTTGCTGCTTGTGTGAATATTGTCAGCAACGTAAAATCAGTGTAAGTTCATTTTTGCTTTTGAGTCACTTTGTGTCTTAGATATGAATGGGAAGGCAAGCTCTCGGAAGACAATGAACTACTACTAATCGTGAAGACTCAGCAGTCTCATCTGGAAAGTTTACAAGAAGTAACACTCACAAGAGGGTGCTGCAGTGAATATCTTAACTTAAGGAATTGAAGCAGAATCACCCCTACGAGGTACCGGAGTTCGTTGCGCTTCCTATCGACTACGCGTCCGAGCCTTATGGAAAGTGGATGTTAGAACAGACAAAAAATAAATAATATTTATGTGCAATAAATATACATTTCCGTTCAAATTAGTTTGACTTAACTATGCAAGTGCTAGAAGATTTATGTGAACCGAGTTTTTCATCGATGAGACATGACACAGAGATAGTTGAAAAGATTAAATTTTTAAAATTGTTGTTGCTGTTGTTGTTGATGCTGAATTGAGTTAGCTGGTTGTTGATTCCACTCTTGGTTAACCATTTGACCAGCATATTGTTGATTATAATTAGTACTGTAGACAGGTTGAGCTTGAGATATATACACGTTAGGCATGCTGTTTCCAGGTTGCGAGTATCCAGCTCCTTGAGCATTAGGCATATTCTAGAACGTTAGATAAGAAACGTTAGATATAAACTTTCCAACCGCGTTAGCTCCATAGCCATAAAGCTGATGTTGAGCTGGAGGTAACTGCGCATGCTGGACCGGGATTTGATTAGGATGGAATGATGTCGTCTAAAACAATACCTTCAGAATCAAATTATTCGTACTACCTGATAAGGATTCACTTGCTGAACAGCCTGATCATACAGAGCTAACACGTCTCTTATGGCAATGTCCATCTATAAACTCAATTTGTTTAGGATTGCTCAAAGATAAACTACTTGTGCCAAGGCATTACTTTGTCGATCAACTGCTGCCAATCTAGCATCAATTAAAGGTGCCTGAGCGAGAGCGTCTGCTTCAGCCTCAAAAATGGATGTGGAATAGAAATATAACAATTTGAATACTTGTGATAAGCCGGGGCTATCGGGGATTTCTCCAGTTGGATCACAGTCCTCCAATAGTTGTATGCATTTCAGTAACACTGATTCATCGATAGAAGTTACAGAAGTAGAATTGACTAGAGTTCTCGAGGTCTCCGGCTGAATAAATTCTTTATGAGATGAGAGAAATAAATCCAACTTTTATTTCGGACAGATCAGAAGTTACAAAACTTGACGGAAAAAGCCCTTGTTGCACCCCAATTCGCCCTCTCCACCAATTGGGATTTCTGAAAAGCAATGAAAACCTGATCATAAATAGAAGCATACGAATCATCGGTTACGACAATGAAGTCTCCTGTGATGAAGGATAGTTCATTGTCTTCCGCAGCTTCAAAATCGTACAATGCTCGAACGGTTCGCTCAGCTACTTTTGATCTAACAAAAAAAAATGAAAGCATCTAGCGCTTAGAACAAACTTCGACGTGGTTGAACGGAACTTATTGGATTGAGAATTCCCTGAAGGGTACAGACCCTGACCTTTAGGATTCTTTTCGGCTTCTTGTAATGAAAGAGCAATAGCTTTCGCAATATCATCTTCTTCTTCTTGTGAATGTACCTTAAAAACGGTGTCACAGCCATAACATTTATATAACTCACAACGTTCGGATCGTTGCTGACCACGACTTTCTTTACGTTTTCTTGAGGCTCGAAGGAATATCCCTCGTCAGCGAGATTTCTGAAAACAAACTTAACTCAGTCACATGAAATATTCACCTGTAAAGCGATACGACAAGAGAAAGAGAGGCATCCGACTTGCATTCAGCTTCTACCCACTTTTTAATCATTAAACGGGTTTTCTCAGCCACTTGTCGAACGCTCTTAGAAAAAGAAAGTTAAGAAAGAAAATTTATAACATACATGAGTTGCTTTAGACTGCAGCTCATTGATGAAGCTAGCAGAAGAAACTTCTTTACGGAAAGCAATACAGTTATTCCAACAGGAGTCCAAGACGGACAAAGCCAATATGACAACATGAGGATCACGATTGTTTAATCTTTAAACATGCAAGGGTTATGAAAAAAAACTTGAAACAAACCTTTTTTTGACTGAGAGTAAAGCCAACTTGGGAGCAAGCTTAGGATCCCTGTTAATAGTATCGCAAATATCAAGAATCACATCCCATTTTTCAGTTGTCAAATCACTTGCGGTAACTTTTTCAACAACATCATCAAAAGGAGAAGCATTATCAGTAAAGAATCCCATCTAAAAATTGAAAGGAGAAGAACAGTTTCAATAAAAAGGAAAAACAAATTTCTGAAAGAAATAAACTTTTGAAAGAAGCTTGAAATGGAATAAACAGTTTTGCAAGGTGGAACAGTCATGCTGGTTAAGGCAAAGAGATGACTATGCACAAGACATGCGCCTGCGCGAAATTTACGCCAAGACTTGGGAACAAAAGACTATGGAGTTGAGCCACGAGGGTGTGTAAGAGACAGGATTCTGAATGCTTATGAATAAAGTTTATACATATAAATATATGATATCATAACCGTATCATACGGTTCAATACAACAGCCCCGTACCATCAACCTTCGGTCGTTCGTGCTTCCGATAGTAAAAATGAAAATGAGGAAATGTCATCCGATCCAATTCAATCAGCTCATAGTTTACTCTAATTTCTGTAAACGGCCGAGAAAATAAGCCTAACATGGCATAAATCGTATTTGGTTTTTTGCAATGCGGCTGTTATTTGTAGCAGCTCTGATTTCGCTGTATTCATGTACCTGGAGCAAAACTTCCGAGGAACGTAAGGTAGTATCACCATTAGTACCAGCTGATATATTCCTGTATAGTTAGAGTATTTGATTACGGATCAGAACAGAGAGGTCGATAAGTTTTTGACTAACGTTTGTTGAATAGTAGGTAGAATATGAATCCATTTTTGTCAGGCTTACATACAAATTGGAACATTCATGGCCGAGACTCTGTTCTTTGTTATGCCAAAGTATCAGGATTACATCAACGTTGTGGCAGATATAGGAGCTCGCTTTCTGGTTGTTTCAACTCATGAAAAGCTCATCAGAAGCACTATTTTAGAGCTTGCCTGAACAGGTCAGAAACACTGTGGTAGAGAAATTTTTGCGAACAGGAGAGATAAACAAAACATTAGGTGAGCAAAATCAGTCGTCAAAACAATGCTTTCAACTCCTGAATTCCTACCTGTGTGAAAAAACAACCGACTTATGCGTGCGCATTTTGAAAAATAGTTCCCCACCCCCGATCGATTGCAGAGCATATTGTTTTATGCTAATTTGCAGATCAGATGAATGGAATCATCACTGTGAGTCAAGAGCAAGTAATATTGACTATGTTCTCATCTTATGACATGGTTAACGATACTGAAGCTGTAGAGATTAAACAATTAAATCTAATCTAGCTTGTTTGTTTCCAGGCTATATCTTTTGCAAAGACGGAAGACTTGAAATTAGGAAATCGGTTGCAGAAGATATACACTGAAGGAAAAAAACAATACTTTCTTAGCTCCCACGAAGCGCAAGAGTTTGTGAGAAAGGTTGGTCAACCCATAGGGCCATCAGTAATTAAGTTTAAAAGGAACTCGCGCAGCTGAACAACAGTGTTAAGAGAGGGAGAAATCAAGTGGACACCCAGGATGTACTGAAAAAAGCCCAAAAGAGTTTTATAGTATGTTTGAACAGTCTTATGAAAAACCCAGAAAAAATCTTCTTAGAAACTTTCGCATGAGCAGAAAGTTGAGATCACCAAAATCTTGTTGTCGGCGTTCAACGATATTCTGATGAGTGGACCTCTTCTATAATTCGGTTTCATGTTATTTTTTTCAGAATATTTCAATGAACTCACGGACAAGCTCTCGCAGCTACATGCTAGACTGGAAAGTTAAACAACCTTGAATCCTCGAAATCTCGATTTCGAACAGGAGAAATTCCATCCTTATGATCTATGTTTCATAATAACAATATAATTTTTATTACTATTCAGACCACAACAATGATAAAATTAGTTGAGATATTGGTGGAATACCCGAGTCGGGAAGCGAAACCGGAGTTCGAACATAGGTTGAAAACAATTTTTAAACAACACAGTGAGATAAATGAGATATTTTGATGAGAGGCACATATAGTTCAAAAACACGTATAACCGTTGCTCATTGAAAATAACGAAGCACGATGTTCAACAATGATTATGATGCATTTGAAGAAGGTCTGGAAGGAGGTCGCAGTCTGATTTTTAATCGTATCGCTCCCCCTTCTTCTTTTATTTCACATGGAGAAGGCTGACTAGAGTCCAAGTCCACTTCATCCATTTTTTTATGCTTTTTCTTCTTTTTCTTCTTTTTCTTATGTTTTCGTTTCTATAATCATTCTTAAGAAAGTTTTCTTGGTTTACACCAACCCGCTCCAACATATCATCCGAGTCATCTGAATCTGTAGGGGAATGGCTCAGAGCACTAGCTGGTGAAGGCTCAATGCTCCTTCTTTCATCGCCAAACCCTCTGCTTATTCTTATCTTCAGTGGTGGAAGAATACGCACCTGAAGTTCGAATTTAACAGAAAATATTATTAAGAACTCACTGGTTCATTAGATATAGTGGGTTCATCTCTAACAATATGATACACAGGTTTACTCTGAATGTCACTATTGGGAGATTTTTCCCTATGACCGGCGATTTGGTCAAAAGCCTACAAAGAAACTTTATAAAATTATGATGAAGTATACAGACCTGAGCTATTTGATCTGGCAATTTCGAATCTAAAGTAAACAAATGCCTCAAAATGGCCATTTGAACAATGCGAGTCGGTTGCTCATCGTCATCTGGAGCATCATATAGGTTCAAACTGTTCCTAGGTACAGGAGTAACAGGCGGAGGGAGAGAAGGTGCTGAACGACCAGCCAAAGCAGCCCCAAGCACACCGCCAGGATCTTAAGAAAGAATACAAAATATATATTATGCAGAAAGCACCTCGAACAAGATCAGACGCTACTGTTACAATGCTACCAGAGGAATTATTTGCCTGAGACTATAAGAGAGTGAACTAATTATTGAAAAGGACTTACTGAGGGACGGGAGGAAGCTGTTTGAATTTGAGACAGCACAGGGTGGGTTGAGGTAGAGGGAGCAGGAACAACAGGCGACGATGGTCTCGAAGATACATTTTGGAGTATGTCCAAAACACTGGTGTGATCAGATCTCATTTTTCCGATTATAGAAGGACATGGGGTTGAGGGAGGTGGTGTAGGTGTATCCTGAAATTATTAACTTACGAATTAAGTACTAACAAAACAGTTACATCGCTCCTCCTCTTGACCAATCTTCTTTTAAACATTGGTACAGTTGGGGCGGTGACAATAGGTATCTCAATATCCGGTGAACGACTTTTTTCACGAGCATGAACTTCATCTGAAAAAGTAGCAGATTGATTCTCTCGACAGAATTTCTTACTATTGTCTTCGAAACTTAATCTGGAGTGTGGCCTAGATGAAGAATTGAAGTTGAGTGAGCTTGAAGATGGTGGCCTTCTATGTGAAATAGGCTGAGGAGAAAACTAAGAAAAAAATGACGTTATATTTTAAAGTTCTTGCCTTTTGATATGCATTGTTGCGGCTCTGTTCAGAAACTCTTTTTAATTTACATAATCCTAATGAAACAGCACTCTCTTGAGTGAAATCGGGAAGAACGGGAATCCGAGAATTCTGCGAAACACTGAACATTCATTATTACTTCATAGGATCATTTTAGTAAACTGAACCTTTTGCTTTCGACGGGGGTTGTTGGCTGAGCAGTGTTGTAAAAAGTGCAAGTGCTGGGCAGCCAAGTCGGGAATTCAGGATGCCGATTGGGGGATGGCAACTCTTTTCGACTTTTATAAGGCTTGAGATGAATATCAGATTTCAAACGTGGTAGCTAAACATGTTCCTATGAAAAAAGTTATAACAATTATCACGAACCACATGAATAGGCATATAGTTTCGAACTTGTTTCATATACTCATTCATTTCGTCTACACTTATGTTCATTTTCCTATACGTATACTCAACATCGCCCACACTTATTTCAGTTCGGCCACCTGATGATGATGGAATTTGAAAAAAAAACACATTTAAAAAAATACAATGTTCAGAAACCCATCGCAGAGTAGCACACATTTTCTGTATATACCTCCGCGTAATATCGCTCAATATATCTACGGATGATTCGCTAGCATGACTAAAACCTATTTGAAACATCATTCGAGCAGTACATGCTTCCAGCTGAGAAAAAAATAAACTCAAAAGAACATTAACAAAGAACCATACCTCTGCTCGAGCTAGTTGCTCCGCTGGGTTATGCACGCATTGAACTTCCATCCGTGTGCTCAAATACCATTTGAACTTATATTGAGAAACCTCTAAGGATGGAACGTTATCAACTTTGAAAGTTGAAAAAGTGTGATCTAAACAAAACATTAAGCTATATTCAAAGTCATAAATATTTCAGGCGGAGATACCATAACAGAAAATGAAACATTTTTCTTTCTTAATTCGTACGATTTTACCCGATTTAGGCAAATTAAACCTGTTTTGAAACTTATAACAATAAAACATTTGTAAAGTTAAAATTCACAATCATTACCCTTTTCAAAAGTTTAAGTAAAATGCATATTTGAGAAAGAAACTAGAAATGAAGTCACCCAAAAGTTCAAAAGAAGAGTATTTGTTATGGAGCAGGCAGATTTCTGAAAAAGACTAGAAAAAAACTAGAGAAAAGAAAGAAGATTGTCGGATATGCTTAAAATTCAATAATTTCCCGTAATCAGTGATTTTTAGTACAAACGCTGAAACCGATCGGTGTAACGAAAACATCATCCGAAAAAAGAGATTCTGATGAGTTCCTGCTAACAATTACCGGTCGCAACTTATGGTTGCCTTCCACCTTGAACAAAAATTGAAATACCAAAACACAACGAGGTGCAGGCAGAGCCGATTTACTGGTCTAAATAATTGTGAACATAAGAATAAGAAACAATCAGAATAGAAACGTACGCAGCTGGGAACAGTGAAAGGTAGTTTTTTTCCTCCAAGAAGCAGTACATTTTCTAATCGGTCAATAGTGCCAAACTGGTTCGAAATTTCTTGGTAACAGTCCAAAAACATGGTTCCATCAAAGTTGTCTAAATATATGGATTAGATTAAAGTTATAATGTCACTTCTTCACAATCTAAAGAAGATATTATGGCTACTTTCAAAGTTATGACTTCCCCGATCCCAACATTTATATCGTCTTCGCTGAGGTAAGGTACCCCATTAACAGCAATGTCTATAATATATACATTAGCCGATGAACAAGCAAAAAACAAACCAAGGGAAATGGCAGGCAGAACAAGTTGCTTTAAGAGAGAAACAGAAGAAAGAAGAGCCCCAACAGGAACTAAACCATTTAACTGCAAACAGATTATAATTTTTGCTTGTTCTTACACACTAACGTTCATGGCAGGTATTGTCCATCTGATATCCAAATGCCTAGCAACATGTCGTTCTAACGTTCTACGTAATCGTTCAACCTATTATTCGATAGTTGAGAGATCACAAAAATTGATTTGCATACTTCCATCCTTTGCATCATATGGCTGTCTTTTTGAGTGGCAACATAGAAAGCACGTCCTGCTACATCCGCACAGCATGGAGATAGCAGCGGAACTCTTAAAATATAAGTTGTATCAGACGCCTGAATCGAAATGGGAAACCGGCATGTTTCCTTTGGCAAAACATTCATTCTTCTAGTCAAACTGTAGACAAGCTCAGCGTCATGTTCAGTACTATTGGTCACATCAACTACGATGTAGCGTGAAAATGGGCCATCTCCTGGTAAAACATGCCATGCAGAGACAGTCAAGGCTGGAACGATACAAACAGCTAGAGACAAACGCGACGAACGTTCATATATCTGAAATATATTATCAATAAAATTTCGGATAATTAGGATACCTCTCCATCTTGCCCATCCACATCTGATTCGTAACGTATAACAAACTGGCAGGTGAGTAAACGCCCTATGTACGGAATCAAATCATGCTGGCCTCCGTCTGGTAAAACTTCTTCTGCCGCTGTTGATGCCAGGGGTAATACAGTTTCAACAATCTCAAATATTGAACTTACACCAATCAAACATCTAAAACCTACCTTTTCTTCACCGTTGTCATCATCTGCCGTTGCTGTGGGGTCTATTCCGAATATCCGGAACTTGATTTCTCTTTTTTCATGAGGGCCAAGATCAAAAGCAACTTCGTCCTCTACAACACTCTCATCATCCGCAAGTAATTCTATCAACGCTGGACCTCCAGAAACCTGAAAAACAATAGAATAAAAATTTTTCTTCACAAAAAAATTACCTTAGGTTGCCATATTTGCAAACGAGCTCTGCGCATACCTATACTACTCGTGTTTTGAACGGTTAAGGAATGCTCGAAACTTGAAAAATACTATAAATTCACACATACGAGAACAGAAACTAACGTTTGGCCGGAATACACAGTTGATTCGCAACTAGGTTCTTCTTCTTCCTCTTGAATAGGAGCACGAGTCATTGAACTACTTATTTTTATAGTTGCTAACTGTGGTAAAACATCAACCTAAGAAAAAATTAACGGTCAGACATAGATCTAACATTCATGGTTGCTAACTGTCAAACTGCCAGAAGTTGGTTCCAGCTTGCATACATTTCGTAAACCGAAAACTTCACACGTGTATCCAGTTATAGTCAACTTCCCTGCCGATCTGAACGTCACCTCCGTATCAAAGAACAAACTAGTATAAATACCGGGGAACACCTATTAATTTAATTCGTGCTGGCGATACTCCTGGCCCAGCAGCTGGTAAAATTAATCTCACGGGGACGGGTTCAAATGAGCAACCTTCGGAAACAAGACATAGCTCTCTTAAAAACAGAACGTTTCTTGTAGCACATTTCAGAACGAACCTAACAGTTAATTCAACACTTCGACAATTATAAACGAGAACAGATACGGCGCACGGACTGTTCACAACCCAAGTAATCTCTACAAAAATAGGATTTGATGAAAATATGCAAAAATTAAGATCTAATAAACGCTTACCATTGTTGTTTTTTTTAGCTTGGAAAGGGGAATAAATAAAAATGGCTGGTTGAAAATTGTCTTTTTTAATTACGGTGGGAGCTAAATGAGGAGGTAAAGAGCATAGCTCTGGCTGACTGGAACGATCTTTTCATAAGCAGAGAGAATCAAAGAGAAAACTAACGAAATTGAAGGAAATCGAGTGAGCTGCATCGGGGGAAGAATTATGTTCCCTAATTGCAGAGAGATTCGTTGCCCTAACACATATGCACTTTCACTTTTTACCAGAGAGTTCAAATCGTCGAACAATCGAGTAAGCATAGATGGCTCCATTTCCTCATAATAAACCTATACACCCAGTACACAAGAACGGACGAAATTTGAGTACCTGAATCAAATAGCACAAGTGTCTAATAGCAGCTTGTGTGAGCTCTGCTCTGATAGCTGCAGTGTAAACCTCGTGAAGAGCCTTAATTTGCATTTGTACAGGTCCTTTCGTATTACAGGAGCTTTTATTTTCTCGCACATCATCCGGTATGCCGTATCCTGCCAGAGTTCTGGAGAATATTTGAGTACTTGCAACGCGAAGCGACTAACTTATATAAAATGGGGTATACTACTTTATAATCTTGGACTGTACGTAGTTCGCCGTCCGCAACATGAAGTCGAAACAATACACCAAGTCGAGCAAAAAACGAACTTTTCCTATGAAAGCCGGTCTGGAACATCAATAAGCGATGTCTACCTATCAATATCATACACTTTTATAAAGCGCTGCAGAGTTATTGCAGATTGCAGATTTTGCTAAGTGATCCAGACGAGTAAAACTATCATCAAGATATTTTCCAACATGATCGCGATGAAAAGTCTTGAAATATTCAGAGTGATTATAACATCATAAACTTCCCACCTCCATCTGAACATATTCTCGTTGTCTCTGGAAGAGTGAGACCGCTTTCATCATACAGTTATATTCTATTAAAGCGGCAAAAGAGAATTTGCTGTAGTTTTCCAAGGCATTTTCAAATCGTTCCAATATTTGAGAAAACTCTATTCGTTCCTTGGATCTAAATAATGAAGTTAAAACCTAATCGATCGCGAAAAAAAAATTAGTAATTAGCTGAGAAAGGATTAAGAAAGTGCACGAAACCTTTCATTTCTGAGCCCTTGCCATAACCTTGACTTCTTTTTCTCTTCCTCCGTCGGACCTTCGACTCGTAAATGTTGCATGCCGTGAGTGGAGCTGTATGTGGAAAGTAGGATCAAAACATGCAATTTTCAACCATATTGAATAAATTCAATTCGGAGATAAGTATGCTTTTGGTAATAATAAAAATTCAATTACTTACCCGTGTGTTCTAGAGTTTATAGCACGACCTTCTTGAGCATCTCGCATCTGCTGAGGTGTCATACTAGTTGTTCTAGACATCGTAGTTGAGGATAAATCTGAATAGTTCTCGAAACGGATAGCCATTGCTGCACAAGCCCAACCCTCATACGCCCCTGAGTATTATAATGAGAAATGGTTGCAGATAGAAAACTAACCAGCTAACCAAAGTAAATCATTCGAGGATTTTAACAGTTCAATAGAAGTTTGATAGGACTCCAGAGCGGTCTGAGGACAACCAGCCATCATGGTGAAATCTGCATGATGCTTACGGCACCTCCCCAAACATTTTTTTCTATATGTTTTTGAAGCTTTGTTTTCTAGCCCTATTCGGAATTTTTCCTCTTCTGGCAGAAGAATGCAGGGAGGAGGATCCTGATATGAAGATTCATTAAAATAAAGTTGCGGGAAACAAATACCATCTTCTCGAAAGACAGATCCATTCTTTTACTCTCCAAAACAAAATAGATGGTCCTCAAATACTCTCGCACTCCCAATTCCAAGTCGTCTGAGCATTCGAGTGATGGATAAGAGAAAACATCACGATTAGAAAAGCAAGTGTGAACTTCATCCTAAACTGTGATTTTACTGTTTGAATGAATATTGTACAAACCATATTGTATCCCAGAAGGATACACCTGCTGTCAACAAGATGAGAAGCAAATTCTGATTTTAGCTTCTCATAATTGTTCTTCACTTCATCCAATGATAAAGGCCCAACCAAAGAATGTTTTCTGGTACTACTTCCAGCACTAGGCTCATCAAGCTTTACTTGATCAGTTTCCGCTGTAGAACTGATAGCCGATCCAACACCAACAACGCCCAAGATTCTGTGATGACACTGAAATTAGTTTGACTTATTTTCTTCGGTCACGTGGGTTTGACGTAACCGCCACGTGTCACGTGCCGGTGTACGGACGAGTTGAGATTCAAGTTGGTAAAAATTAAGCCATAACACTCAAATTAAACAAGTTTTCAGAAGGCAAAAACTTACATGTAGTTCAGCAAATTTTGACAAATCATTATTCACAGTAGTTACGAAATTGGCATGGAAAAAGCGTCGTGGAGTCTCAGAGACTTCAAGAATAGAAATTTTAAAAAATGAGGAAATTGCAAACCTTGAATAGTCTTTTGTCTGGTTAACCTTTCGAATACCCTATTAAACACAACAGCATTTTTACAACCAATCTTAAATAAAAGACATAATAACAAATAAATAGATATGAAATCCATACCTGTCGTACAAGAATAACTACTTTAAAATGATCGTCGGGTGTCGGCATACACTCCATGCCGTGTACACAGCTCTGCATCCAACATTAGCTATATACAAATCTAATAACCTGTTGAAACAGTATTAATACAAGAAAAATGCAAACTAAGATAAATGTTCTTGAGTAAACAGTACACAATTTCGCAAAAAGGTCAGTAAATTTTTATAGACTAGAGAAATATTAATATAGGTATTAATATAATATCACAATTTTAGTGGACCCGCATAAACATCCCCATTTGATTATTATACAACAAAGATTTTTTTATATGGGTGCTGATATCAGATCACGCACTGAGCGTAAGAGAAGTGAAATTCCTAGGGAAACATTAGATGGTAATATATTGTACATGCTATGGTTTCTTGATCATTTCTTGCCAATTCGCAGAACCAAGTAAGTCATCGCTCTCTGAGTTTATAGACTCACTAGAAGAAGGAACAGGTAAAGGCAGCAAACGAGGTTCTGAAAGAAGAAAGCTGATCTGAACAACAATTTTAGAAAGGAACAGCCCCCCATTTTTGAACAAAATAAGGGTTCGAGTAACTGATAAAAATAGATCTGAGAGGAAATCACCATTCAAATATACTATTTCTTGGTCGTTATCACTAATTTTAGCTTTACGCAATAAGCGTTCTGGAAATTCATAACTGAAAAACTTGAAAGTAAACACTACCTATTCGTGTGCGGCGTGCATCAGCCTCTTCGTCAGAATCGGTTCTGACAGGAGAATATCTAACGGGGTATCAAGTGTTCAAATATCTATCGATAAGAAACAACCTTTTTCTTCTTCTAAACCTTCGTCTAGTTACCCTGCCAAACCAACTCATTCGACGTTTTGTCAGTAGGTATACGGAGAAACAAATAATAAACAGAAAAGAGAGAAGCCAGAAGTATAACGAGCTCCATGCTAAATTAGAATGTTTTTTTAATTGCTAGCTTCCTATTCTTACCACAGTTATGTTTTTTCCAGCCACTCCTCAGAATTGTAAACAAGTTAGGCATCCAGAATCGATCACATACACATTCTTTCGTAACATCACTGCATAGTCCATGCCCAGAACAATCCAACTTACAATCTGGATAATCATTTCGTTAAACGAAACAGTCGTTGTCATCCGCATACATAAAGTTTGTACAGATATGATTTTGAACTCCGTAAACATGCTCCATTCTTGTTCCAGTATAAAGACAGTATCTTCCGCCGAAATAATTCCATCTGATGCTATGGGAACGGATCTTTTCATAGCTCTAGCTTGAAAAAAAATTTCATACAAACATGAACTTTACAAACTCACCATCAGCAGTAGTAGCCCAGAAAATGGCACGCAGATTGCCTTCCGCAGTTTCATCAAACTTGGTTATATGAATGTTAACAGTAGTGATTTCCTAAACGAATTGAGTATACAAGAGATAAAAAGCAAACTAACTGGAATAGCACTAGAGATAACTGCCGCAAGGCGAGCTTGGAGTTTTGTACGGAAACGATAGTTCCAGTCAATAGATAACTTTTGCAAAATTATTTCCACGGATTGTAAGTCTTCATTTCCTAAGCAAAAAACAATTAATGAATTAACTTCTGCTATACCTTGTTCCACAACCAAGTAAACTGATATAGAACTCTCAGCTTTCTGTTGGTCGATAACTGTAAGTTTGAATAAATGAGTCCCTTTGACCAATCCAGTAACAAGTAACACAGGCTTGCTTTCACTTCCATCCAATATTATCTGAACCAAAAAAGGTCATCTTTATTACTTTTTTTTTCCTCACCATTTTGGCAGAAACATCTTCAGAAGGTTCCCACTTATATGTAATGATTCCTGCATCGTCAGTAGAAGAGCTTCCGTTCAAAATAGCTACTGCTTGTGGCAATCGTACGGTGACATTGTTTGCTTTCGCGATAGGAGGCTCATTGTTACCTAAACGATAAAAACTGGTCAGGGCGCTCAAATAGCATGAATATTCACTTCTCTCAACTGTTATAGACACTTTGTCAAAACCTTTCAAACCACCATCGTCAATTACTTCTAGCTGAAAAATGTAAGCGCCTTCTTTTAACTCCGAAACTGTGGCTTTCGATTTATCTTTATTGGCTATAACTGCTTCCGAAGGACCGCTGAAAATCATTTGATTTCTAGGAGTAGTCGAAAACTAGGTACCTAATCTGAGTCCAGTTATATCCTACTACACTACCGTCGTCTTTGACTAATGCGTCTAAAACAGCACTAGTTTCAGGTAAGAAAACATTTCGGTTTCCTCCAGCTTTGACAACTATAACTATCAAAATATTCCAAGGAGACTGGTGATAACATCACCTGGAGGTAGATTCTCAGCTTTATTCACAAAAATACTCATTCTGGAAGAATCCTTTTGTCCTTTAGCATCAGTTACATCTAACTGGAACTCATAAGGACCCAACTTATCGTTTGCTTGAGCGTTAGTGAGCGTCAAAATATTGGTGGATGAGCCTTGATACAAAATGGAATAGAATGCAATATCCAAAACAAGAATCTATATACCTGAAGAGTCAACAGCGAGTTTCTCAGTCAGTTTATCCACACGGAACCAACTATACGATACGATTCCCTCAAGACACAATTACTAGTTCAAAATATTGAATGAGCTACACTCACTTTGTCATCAGTAGACATATTTCCACAAAGCTTCAGATCTTCAAAAGGTAACCTTACAGTTATGGATCCTGAATCGCCACTCTCACAAAGAGTGATGATTGATTTAGGTGGGTCATCTCGTTCAGCTTCAATGACAACTGTGACAGAAGCAGATGAAGAGAGATTCCCCGAGTCTGTTACAGACACACTGAAAAATCTGAGTAAAACTTTTACAAAAAAATATAAATACGTGAAAGTATAAGTTCCTCTAACTAGAGAGTCTAATTTCAAAACTGGAGTATCTAAGGCTGGAAGATTAACTGTAGGGCCATTATCTTGAGACCATTTATAAGAAATAATTTTGTTCTCGTCCGAACTTCCTAGAAGATTTCATGATAAAGAACTCCAGGAAGAACCAAACCTTCAGCGTCTAAAACTATTTGACTTCCTTCCACGCCATGAACTGGAGACTCGGGTTTAATCATGGCTTGAGGAGGTTTATTCACTATCTCTGGAGATAAAACATTCAGAACGAAGTCCTTCTGAGAACTTCCAGAGAGACTTGTAACAGTTACACGAAACTGTAGTTTGCCTTCTTTCAACTGAAGACGGGTTAGGACAAAAAGTTATCGCAACAAGACATACGTTAGTCAGGTGTAGAGTTTCCTTATTATAAGATAAAGAGTTAGCTAATCCATTACCCATTATTAAATCCCAATGTACAGTGAGATTACCCTCTCAAAAGTGAATGTACTGGCTGAACGTGAGATAAACTCACTTTTTTCTGAAGAAGAGACAACGGTTAGATTTACACTATCTATCGGTAAATGGATTACAGATGGTCCCTCTACCTCAAAATCAATAGTCTGTAAAATCGTTATTTAATGGAATTCTTCATAGTTCTCAACTTTATTTGATAAATATTCTTCTGTTGTGTTACTAGGTATGCAGTTCCCATTTTGCATAGTGAAGCCCAAAGCACATTTACAAACACCAACCTAGAAAAAGAAGGAAAATTGAAAGTTCCAGAACTTCAAAAAATACCCTAGCGGATGTTTGACCAGATATGCAGACTTCATTCATGCCACATGGTTCTCCTCCGTCGATATCGCAAGGAACTTCTGAAGGTTTCTGAAAGTGAAAAAAGTTATTCATTCGAAAAGGATTAACTCACATCATGAGGCTCAAGATCGAAGTCGTTCTCGCAGTGATAGATATGAAGAATAGATATGACATAGAGGAGCTTCAGGATCATTTCATATCGTTTAAACTAGCAAACATATAATAAACATCAGACAAAACTATAAACCATAAGTGAATAAACAGTACAGTAAGCGATGTGACGCGCCCAGTATAATTAAGAACCCACAGTCAAACTGTTTTAACAAAATAACCAACAACATAACCAACAGTAAAGTGAGAATCTCACTAACTTCAGCAACAATTTTCAAAAAAAAACAATGATAACAACTCAAAAATCACCATGAAATTTTTCTCGAAGTCAGATCGACCTTCCGTATCCTGTATAATGGTAGTTCGTTCTCTAGGGTAGCATGTTTTTTTGTGCGTTCTACCTCCAAGCTGAAATATGAATCACACAGAGCAGTCTGAAAAAAGATGATTATTTCTCAAAAGAAAATTCTATAATAACTGACCATATCGCAAATATCCTTCATCATCTCCAAAACATGTGGATGTTTCTCTGAGTCCCAAATTAACCCAGAACAATTTGAATCCACCAAAGAAGCCAATAGGGACAAAAGCTGAGTGATCAAATTGGCTTTTGGTCGAACCTATGAGTGATACCTTGTCCGTCAAATGATTTTTACTGTCATCATTCAAAACTATTTGAAGCCAACCAACAAACTTGGAAAATTCACTAGAGCTGAACGTTAATCCCGACATACTAATGGCAGATTCAGAAAAGCCCTTTTTCAGAAGGCCTTCAACAACATTGAAACCTTTTTTATCAGGTAAGCTGAAAAATGGATGAAACTTCAAACAAGCAGATATTATGAACATACCTTGCGGCATATTTCAAAAGATGACCAAACACTTTTTCCGGCAAAATATTATTACTTTCCAAAGTGTTCACCAGAATTTTGGAAAAGTTATGGCTTACACAGATTTCATAAAATCCCTCTTGATATCTGATTGATGATGACTAAATTGTCTAAAGCTTGATCAAACCTGTAGTTAAAGACCCCATGAGAAGAAAGTACTTCACATAAATCACTTAATAAGGTTTCATCCTGAATTTCTTTTAAAGCAGTCAACAACAATAATTGATCATGGTTAGGAATGACTCCACTCAATGATCCATCGAAGTTTGAAAGCTCTTTTATTACCGCTTTCCATGATTTGCTGCTTTCCTGATAAACGGATTCGAATTGGTGAGAAAAAACCACCTTATACCTTGTTTTGTACGGCTTTTCTGATAGAAGAGAGCAAGGTAACAGAATTGAATGAAGTTACTGGGTTAGCGGAAAACATTTTATAAACACATGTGTTGTCATTTGTTAGAACAACAGAAGAACCACCTATTATTGAGCCGAGTCTGAAGAAGGTGATAGGAGAATGAACTCACAACAAAACCGACTTTATTGGTATAACAGCAACGGTGGTGGGACTTTTCAGATGAACACTATTCTCTTCTGATGAAAACGAAATCTAAGCAACGGAAGCTGAAGAAACCCGAAAAATAATCACCTCGTTCGGACATTGTTCTTGAGAAGGCCATGGTATATCCTTTGCAGCTAATTCTTTAGTATCATCCGCGGAAGAATGTACTGAAAGTCTGTAACTGCTGGAATCTGAAATCATACTTCATATTAAGGCATTTCATTGTGGTTTACCATTGGTAGAATCTTTATTATCAATAGGTTTAACTTGAATGGTGATCCCGCATTTCAAGGAACATGTCAGAGAAGATTTCATTCTGCAAACAACACATATACTTCTACTAATTCATTCTCATATATATATAAATATATGGATTCATATATATATATATTTACTCATTCATATATATATAACATATATCTCCACTCGAAAAAAGAACAATGTTAAATCTGCAAAAAAAGCGACTTGACGTTAAGCTAAAAAGTTTTGTGCAATATACGTAAACACTCCTAGTGTTACTACTAGTGTGACGAAGCTATAAAGCTGCTGTGAGGTGGCATGTACTGTGGAACTTGTTCATTGAAATTCAATTGATCATGAGGGTAATCTTAGAGAAATCTCTCTTTCATTACGCCATGCCTTACTGGAAATCTCGTAATGTGAAAAAATGTTGAGTATTAAAAGAGCATAGTATACATCTTGATGTAAACCAAGTAGTGGTAGAAAACATGTTTGAAATGGATAAATTTTGGTCGGCTTGAGGATATGCTTGAACAAGACGAATATGGAAGTTTGATACGGGAATCGGTCTCGCTAACTCAATATGCTATTAAGATTTTTCTCCAGAAAAATACAGTTAACCCTCACATGTGTAGCCTTCCAATTCTTGCTGAGATTCTATTGTTTCTTCTATCGTAGAGTATATTAGCATAATTGCTTGTTATTGAAATATTGAAATTAGAAGAAACTGTTGATTACTGTCGTATGAGTACATTACAAGTATAATGTTTTGAGTTGGGAAAGTGTTGGTTAGCAGAATATTTATGACTACGAGTTGACGTTGGCCAATTCATACGGATCTAAAATCAGATAACTTTGTCACGCTGCACGTAAGTTCCTGGTATCTGAGTGGGCATTGTTCATCTTCTACTCTCATTTCGTGTTAGTTACATGCATCAAAAAACTGGTGGCACTTTCATAATAACCGTCAAGAGAAGATATTAATTGATCCGAGTGAATGAACTATATGTTATCCTTGTTGAGACCATTTCCTAAGCATATGCTATGTGGTCCTCATTTATCGTCGTCCTTCGTCATCACTTCTGACGTTAACGGAGTTATTTGCTTTCTACTAGCGTAACTTATTTTCAGTTCATATAGAATGTTATATTCCAAGCTTCAATGGTATTCTGAGAAGATTGCATACTTCATTCTCCTTATTTTTTAATTATATGCGACAGCAACATATAGAATCGAATTAGGTTAGGTACGAAAAACAACGTTATTATAATTCTAATTTTAAATTTGACATTTCGATCATCTTCAGAAGGAGTCTCTATTTCGAGATATTCCTTTCGCTAAAAGACCATTGAAATTTCATAATTATGTCAAGCATAATTAGAGAAGGATACTGCAATTTGTTCGAGCTACATTTCTTTGTTCTCCCACTACAATCATCAGTTCATAAGAAAAGCTCAGCGAATGGCAATCTGACATCTCACATTCATATGCCTCCTCTTAAGTTTGTGTTAGCCAGCTTACTGCTGTTTTCCTTCTAGTTTTGCTCTTTTTTTAAACAGTAGTGAGGGCTGGAGTAAAAGAGGGCGGAATTTGTATAGATTCATTTCTTATTTCAGTAACATTTTTAGATTCAACCTATTCCTAGTAGTAGCTTTCAGTTCATTCCTGATGCTAGCTTCCAACTCGTTGAGCCGTTTTTTCCTCCGTGATCCAATGTTTTGGATTGCTCATGTGCATTGAAGATTCCTCATTTTCTTTAAATGAGCAGTATTATATAACTGCATGAATTTTCATTAATTTAGGGAAACAAAAATGATGCGTATAGTCTTCATCTTTCTTATCGTTATAAGCTCTTTGAATGCCGAGACAACGGTGGACGGGGATCGTGCGATGATGTTCCTGAAAAATCTGCACATGAATAGACCTCAGGTACATGAGTCTTCTTGTAGATGTTGGTAATTCTCCTGTGATGAGCACGAGTATTTTCAGGAGTTCCGTTATCCTATGTTTGGTGAGCCAGCTGTCCGTCGCTTACAAACGTGGAATTCCAGATCACGATATCTTATCTGATTTCATTTGAGAAATTTGTCGACATACAAAAGATCCGTACGCACAATATATTGAATAAATATTATGTCAACTGTTGGTTTTTCATTTCACAACACTTTTTGATTGTAGGCCAAAAACACAAAAGATCGGTAGAAACGGGGATCGATTCTTCTTGAATAGAATTAAAATTATAATTAATTGACTTCAAGTCTTCTAAATAATAATAGTTTTCATTAAATAAAATCAAATAGTAAATTCAATTCGAAAACACCAAATTTTAAAATGCGTGGGTTAACACCGCAAATTAGAATATCATAGTGAGAATGACGTGAACTTACGTGACCACGTGGCACGTCAACATTTTTTCATTTTTAACAGAAACTGTCTGAGAAGCAGTTCACCTCGAATTCACTAATACTAATGCAGAAAACTATACTAACATTCTCCGTCACTTCTGATTTCAGCCAGGTTAGTAAGTAGAACGAGACTCTATGTTTTCGAATCTTAGTTATCTAAGAAATATTTGAGAAAAGTAAAATGACGGAGTTGTTGTTCGTGATTTTTTGTGGTTGGATGCAAATTAGATGAGAGTATTGATGAAGTAATAGGAAAAACGTTTTCTAAGTGTGAAAACAATCTTCATGGCTTGGGTCAGAAATCTGGGAAAACGAAATGATTCTCTCTGAATTTCCTTACATCACTTGTTTTTCATTTCAAGTGTTGGTTTTTGATTCTAAAAAGTTTTTTTGCAGCTTCAAAAACTACCGAACTTGAACCAATGGATTGTTCATGAAGACGAGAAGCTGATGATTAGGAAGCTACCCAGCTACATTAGATCAAAAGTAAGTTAATGAATAAATTATATCATTTTGGAAAAAAAATTTGAACAATTCATCTTTCTAGTCATTCATGGGTCTAAACAAAGTTTCTTCGTTCAAATGTAGGCAAGTTTCAATCACGAAAAATGGTCTCTTAATAGTTTATGAGAAAGAATCTGAAGGTGTGAAATATACTTGCAGCTCTGTAATATCACATATTTCTAGGATATGTACTTAATATTCGTGAAGCTGAATCTATTTCGACAATAACTGAAAATGGGAAGAACAGAAGAAAACACTATGTAAGTTGAATAGTGACTGCAGCTAACCAGTCATGTAACTAATGGTAATTTTTCAGCGTCGTTGTCACTTGAAACTAAGATACCCATTCGGCACCTTGAATTTGCTCATAATAAGTAATGAAATTTCGCAATGGAAGCAGGCCATATGTGGAATTTACGAAGAAAGAGTTCATGAAAAAAGTGATGCATCCACAGTGGTTGAAATCATTGACGAGCTCGAGAGCAAACCTGATATGACGGAGACTGACTATGAGACCACCACCCAAACTAATTCTACAGATACGGAGCCGGAAACAAAACTGAGCAATATATACTCCAACGAGTTTATTTTCTTTATCGATTTAGTAATAACATAAATAAATTCTTTTCTACTTATGATTTATAATCGAACAAGAGTCAGAGTTAGCTGACCATCACTTTCGCAATCCCGCTTGTGTAAGATTCAAAATAGACTGTTGGAAAACAATAGTAAGAAAGGTTAAAGAAGGAAGCTTTATAATTTAGGAGAGGAAGTGATACTAATAAAAAATAAAGCCATTAATAATATATATTTGAAAATGAGGCAAAACAGTTGTTTTCAGGACTTGAATTACTTAGTGGGAGTAGTCTGACATCACGCATCAACCAGCTCTTCATGAAATAAAATATATTTCTGGAACGAACACTTTTATCGTGAATATATGAAGCCTAGAACAGAACACACGCACTTGAACTATCTGAACCTGATAGACTAAACAACCGAAACTGAGTTCCTATCACGTATTGGCAACATAATTAAGGAACTAGACTTTGAAAACTTGATGTGGTAATGTCACTATGCATAACAACGTCAGCATCTCTTTCTTCGGCAGAGATATTTGAAAACTTTGCCACTTAGTAGCAGTTACATCGCATTACAATTCATAATTGTAACAGATTCCTTAGTTATTTTGGAAGTGTTTCTCTCGAGAACAACATACAAAGATACTCACATAGGAACATTTCCTTCCTTTACATCATCGACATTTTTTCTGTCAGACATAACAAAGAGTAAATGAAGCAAGAGAACAAACTAGTATAATATAATAAAAGTTCAAGCTTCCCTAATCAATTTTTGAATTACATTATAATCAAATAAGTCATTCTTGAAGCCATGATGGTTTCTTTTTCTTGAAGTGACATTCATGCTCTATTGACAATGAAGCGGACGCGAGGCGGCACCTTATTGGTTCAGCTCATACACTTGTTTGCTCTATATTCTTCATCCCACAAGCAGCAGTAATTATTATTCTCTAATCAGAAGAATTTCAGCTGTACTGGTTATTCCAAAGTTCAATTTATTTCCAACTGGCTCTTCAGATGACATGAGCCAAGTATCAATGTGTAGTGTTCCGTATTATTAAACCTAAGGTTTGAAGTTTACTTTTTCCTCGTTGTTGTGGTTTTTTTGTTCAAGTGTTCATCTTTCTGCATTCTCCCTAACATTTTGTTTTAAATTTGTTCTAGTGTAATGTTCTGCAGTTCTTCTATTTTACTCATGGTTCAATCAGTAATATCTTAAGTGACTTGGAAGTGAAGTGTTAGTAATAGAATTAATCCCTTGACGATAGCTTACATATCCATCAGTTTTGGGAAAAGTCGCGAGTCGAATACGCTATACTGATGTCGATTCATGCTCATTCGAGACAACACGAAGGGAATTGTCATATGCATCTACTATACGTTCATAAATTCCTATATATTACAACTCTATTAGATAATCCCACTTGTTCTTTTGTTGTAAAATAAACTTTGACATATGTGGTAAACTGTTCGTTTTAGATATGGGTATATCATGGTCCTGCTCCGAGCAGAATGCCATTTTGCCCAGAATGGGAACTGGTGCTTATCGTGTTGGCTGCTCTGACTTAATGATAAAAGATTCCAAGGATGGCGACTCTGGTGTTTTCATGAGAATTTATTACCCTGTAGATCATCTAGTAGTTGTAGCTTCCGATCATATTATGTTACGATGGTTATTATAGAATGAGAAAGAACAACCTGAACCGCAAGCTCATCCTCTGTGGCTACCAAGGAAAGAGTATCTTGAAGGCTTAGCCGGTTACTTGAAGCAATCTTCTCGAAGACTTCAATTCTTTTCTAATTGGATAGTTGGAGAGAAACGGTTTCGTAATTATTTATCGGGTGTAATGAAGCTGTTTAAAGAAGTTCTGCTGGTTGGCATTTGCCTCTTGCTGGTACAAACAAATCTATACCAATATCCACATCCATGCCTACAATATCTAGCAAAACTCATAAGATCCCATCTTCACGATCTTTTTCTGTAACGCAGGTACTTTGTTTGACAGCAAACAAAAATAAGTTGTATTGTTCAGCCTAACTTCCCAGTTGTTGTTTTCTCTCATGGTTTAGCTGGATGCAGACATTTTTATTCAACTTACTGTTCCTCCTTAGCTTCTTATGGTTATGTTGTTGCTGCTATTGAGCACAGGTTGCGGGTAGTCTCTTCTTGTACCAAAACACACATTTTTTCAAGGGATTACTCTGCTTGTTGGACTTACAAGCTAATTCCGGATGTATTATCTGGTAGGGCTAAAGAGAGGGCAGTCCACATGAAGCTACTGGAAAGTGGGGATAAAGAGTTCAAAATCAGGAGTCAACAAGTAATACTTTTCCGGAACAATACAACGTATTGATTAACTTCTCGAATAGTTGAGTAAACGAGTGTCTGAATGTGTGAAAACATTACATGTGCTGGAAGAGCTTTGTATGGGGACCTTGGATAATCAGAGTATCATGGAAGGAAATGATTTTGACTGGACTCAGTTCAAAGTATGCATTCAGTTTTTCTAATTTTTCACATCGTTGTGCTCAGAATCGGTTGAGTTTATCCAAAACTGCTATAGCGGGGCACAGTTTCGGTGGAGCAACTGCTATGGCTGCAACAGCATTTTCAACAGAGTTTCAAGTATATATACTATTTTTTTCATTTATACACTGCCATTTTCTAAGGCTAGTCTTGTTCTTGACGGTTGGATGTTTCCTCTAGATGCTGATCACTACGTGCGAGCAGGACAACCAACATTGTTTTTAAATGCTAAGAAGTTGGGCTTAAATTTGAGTTAATATAGTTTTGAATGTGACAGATGGCAATGGAAAGAGAATCTGAAAAATATGCGGAGATTTGGCAACGAGTCAGAGCGTCTCATGTACAGTTTCAGGTAAAGGTTCAAACATTCGTTTTGCATGATACTAAAGAATAACATGATGCCAGTCTATAATTCTTCAAAAGCACATAGTGAGTGGTATTCCCTTTGGGGAACACTGTCTTCATGATGTCTCCAAGCCTTCATGAAAAGTCTCAAGAGATTTAGTTTGAAATTCAGCAATTCACAGTCAATCTGCTCTTTATTAAGTTAAATGGTTTCCAGTGATGCCGTTCATCAGACGTTTTCTGATTTTCCCTATCTAGTTTCTAATTTTGTCGGCAAACGAGTGGGACTACAGGGTGAAGTTCCAGCAGACGAGTTGATGGAAGCCATAATTGAGATGTCTGTGGTGTTTCTCAGAAAGTTCGTTTATTCTGCAGACCAAACGGCTGTAATGTTTCACTTCAGAATTCATGAAGGAGAATTGGCTGGTCCAACACTACATCAGCTATCTACAATGAAATTTGCTAATATCATGGAATCAGGAACTGGAACTGATATGGATTCAGAGACATGACGTGTTGGAACATTTCAGAACTTCGAATGTGTCAAGATAGCTGCGCATATAGTTATGTGCTTCAAGAAAAGTAGTTTTTCAAAGATTCTGCCTTTATTTGATATGGGTAAACTCTTGTTATACATGAAATAACAAGACAAATGAATATTTTTCTAACATGCGCTGTTCTTTATCTCCCTTCACGTTGAGGGTCTGTTCATTTTCCGTTCAATTAGAATATACGTGAATAACGCCAAAGCCACGTGGAAATCAATTTGTCTTTACTGCAAAACTGATATGGCCGAACCAGCAATGGAGCCTAGAACACTAGTATTCCGTTGGATAACCATTCATAGCCATATATTCTATAGTCTGATGGTAATAATAGATTGTGATTTGATTAAACTAACTTTTCTAGACATGTTACCTCATTGTTTTGATTGAGTGTACTTTTCATTCTTATAAAATGCTGCAAGTAACGTCCGTAGGTTTGCCTGAGAAGGCTGGGAACAACACAACAAGTGAAAAAGTTTTTGATTTGGGAATAGTGAGAAGTCTTTTTGATAAACTTAAACAGATAAGTTCTATTTATCGTTGGCTCTTCAGATCATAGGATCAAGTGTGATGCATGGATTGTCGTTAATATGCATTCTGGTTTGCTCCTGCTTGCTAGAAGTTAGAACGTTTTACCAAGCGACACCTCCAATGTTGGTGAGTCACTTTGACAATGACTAATTGAGTACTGACTGATCAGATTACTATCATATCGACTTTCAATGTTGTCCTGAACGTTTTCGGATCTGTTCTCCTTATGATCAAATCAGATGTACACCGATTGTTTTCAGCGAAAGCTGGTTCCTTTGCTTATATGGTCAGAGGAGCTTTTGTGAGTTATAACTACAATAGTTCATAACTTGTTTTATGTTCAGTACATTTCAATTTTTTCCTTAATGTTATCCATCACTTCTTCACTTCTAAACATATTCTTTCCATCTCGACATTCCGTGAAATACAGTGAAAACAATAAGGATGAGTGAGTTTCTGTACTAACATGGATACTATTGCGATATCGTAGTGGAAAGACAACGTTAACTATGGGGACAAAGGGAGAGATATCTGAAGCAGCAGTTATGTAAGATTATTTTCCTTTTACTGATAAAAAAATACATGTTCAGTACTCAAGAGAAAGCACAAGTTCCAAAAGAAACAGCGAAGCCAGCAGGAGATTTAGGAGCCTTCATGACATACTGATTAATACACCGTATAAAACTTTTCTTCTTTCGTATGTGGCGGCTAAAACGAAGTATATGGGGGTATGCTAGAAAATCATTCTGCACCGAAAATTTCATGAATTGGTTGTTAAAACTTTTTACAAGCTATTTAGAAGATAAGGTTGCCAAGATTTAGATATTCAGAAACAGATATTGACATGAAATATTCTCAGAAGCAGGAAGTGAAATATGTTTTAATAACATCTGATGGAGCACAACTAGAAGTATCAAAAGAAGAGCTAGTTCATATGGAAACTCTAAAAAACATGATTCAAAGTTCAATTTCTCTATTTTCTTTGAATATTTCATGTGTTTAGATTTGAATTACTTAAACGGATCATCATCTGACCAGACTATTGAGATTCCCATCATATACAATAGTTCTTTAATGAATAAGGTTTCGGTTTGATCACTTTTCCAATTCATTAAGGGTAACATCAGATCATTGAATGGATAAGGTTGGAAAACAAATCAGAAACAAATGACGTCATTGATCAATTCTCCTTAGAATCTATAACTGATTCAATTAAAATGATTGAAGTAAGTTTATTTTTATACATAGATAGTTCGAAGAGTGTTTCAGGTTTCACTCTATCTAAACATAGACAAGCTGACAACGGTGTTATCCGAGCATGTAGCAAAATGTTTGACACCAATGAGTTCTATTGAAATCGAGAAAATTCTCGGAAAAAAAGGAAATCTTCCAGTATCGAATCTCCTTAAGGTAGTTTAATTATCTTCTTCAAATTAGCATTATGTAAGCTTTGTAGATTGATAAAGCACTGTCCCAGTTCTCAACAGTTCGCTCTTTCAAAAGAGCAAATGATTGAATAGAGTTTAATGGCGATATATGAAGCTTTGTCATAGTCTTCAATTATAATCCGTGAAGATATTTTTTTCTTCTCGTCTTCGAGGTTCTGAAAGAATCGTTTGGGAAATCCTTCTTTGCTTATGTATTTGATGAAATGTGTTGGATCAGTTCATCCTTTATAATAGTTTATCGACAAAGAATTATGAGCGAGAGAGATTATGAACAGCAACAGTACGGAATCCAGAAGATTAAAATTGAAGAATTTCTGAAAGGTGGAAATGTAGGATGATATTTCGACAACTTGAGCGGGAATAACTAGACTGCATTTGTATTTGGTAGCTGGTTCTCAGTAAGTTAACAAACTCAAATGATCAAATGACATCACTTCTTCCGTTAATATACATTTGTTCTTTCATCTTTCTGCTTCTCGGAGGTTCCTGGTTTATTTTAAGATCTCTTTTTCTCATATTAAAGACTGAAACAAACCTATATGAATGGTTTGAAGCGATTGAGCTGCATGAGTGAATGTTTAAAAGAACACATCAAAAATCATGAGAAGCTCGTTTTGTAAAATTTCGATAGATGTTGCAAGGTTCTCTCAGTTCTCTTCATTATTTCCCTCAGGTTTTTGCGGCTTCGACCAGAAAGCATACTTTCGCTCTTCGTTTCTTCTTTTGATCCTTAAACTTTTCCAACTTTAGTTTGCGACAAAAGTTTGAGCTGAAAGTTCAAAGTGATAACCTTCTCTGCAGGGTTCAGCATTTAATAAACAGATTATTGTATATGGAACAAGACTAATCTTGATACCTCGTCAGACTCAATGCAGATTTTCCTCAACTCAGCACAGCTGAAAGCAACGATGAGGGCTGTTTGAACTTTGCGATCGGCATTTTGCACATATTTCGTTCAACACCTGGAGTGTTAAGTTTAATGGCAGCTTTGCAAAGTAGCAATGAGATCAGATTTTGTGAATGACGTGAAGATTCATGATGATATGCAATATATAGAAATCATCCACATGAGGAAGTTGTTCATCTAATGGGAAATATCTTAATGAAGAGCTAAAAGCTTCTTCTTCTCAATGACTAATTGGAATGAAGAGATAGACCTTTGATTTAAGTATCACAAGAAGTAAAATAAGAGGATTGAAAAAGGAAAATGGTTTAAATAGAAAGAGAAGACCAAATGATCTTTTGAATGCAACCGATTCCATTTTTCATCTTCTGAAAATGAATTTTGTGACGTCATGCTACATCCCACGTGAAAAGCATCCGAACATGAATTTGGTGTTTACAAGTATTATAGATTAAGCTCAAAGTTTAATTCAGGCATCGTACTGAATATAATCATCATACTTTTCTTTTATTTTCTTCTAGAATCTAGCTATATGTATGCTACTATTCTATCTCTTGGATCTTCCTCCCGTTTCTGCTAGCAATCATGTTTATCATTAGCAAGAGCTAAATGAATAGAAAGATTCAATTCTTAATGAAAGAATCATTCTTATCTACAACAATTTCTGCCAAACTCTTTACCAAAAGGGTTATTTCCAATGGCCATGCTTATATACTTCCGGGTTTGTCTCTGCTTCTGCCATTGTGTTTTCTCATGATCTTTCAGTTTTGCTCGAAATGTTTCGTTGAGCGAACATCGTTGTGAGCAGACCAATGGGCTTTTTTCTTTTCAACTTCAAGCATTTCCAATTGGCCTTATTTTTAGCATCCAATATTGGAAACGTAACATTGTTCTCACAGGATTCATGAAAACCTCAACATGCAGTTGTAACAACTCAATCAAAAACATACATTTTCATTTTGATACTTCATCTTCCAACTGTGCCATACATACTCTAATGACCTTCTCACAGCTTCTGCTCGGATCATTTCATTCAAAGTATAAGAACAACTCATTAGCAAGTAAGTGTTGCTGGAGATTTCTGAATTATTTCAAAATGAAATGAATGTTTTTTAAAATGTAAATTATAGACTATTTGTGAGCTCAAAGACCATGTTCTGTTAGATTTTTCTTCCGCTTTTAAACAACCTAATGACAGCGTGATGACAGTTGCTTATTTCGAAGATGCAGAATGTTGTGAAGCTTCGAGTTTTCATAAAGCGTATTAAGCAAGCATATGTTTTCAACTGATTCGAAGAAAACTCAAAGCATAACTAGAGATGTTGTGCTTCAAGCAAAGAAGTCTGTCTCCTGTATGCGGCAGTTATCACGAGATATTCATTACTAGTTGGATGCAATTATAATATAGTAGAAACAGCAGGTGATACTTTAGAAGCCATTCCGTATGTTTCGTATTAATAGCACGACATTCATATGCATTGGTAAGAAAACGAGGTACCACTTTCTGTAGAGGCATGATTTGGATAGTTGTTAAGATGCCATATCAATGTTTGAATAGTTCCCTCTTTCCTAGAGATCAACACAACCTCTGTGCTCGAACTTTCTGCCAAATTAGATTTTGGACAAGGAAACTGCTGTTGGCACGTAGTAGCTTTCCATTTTTGCATATTTTCTCACATCGTTATCTGCACACCAGCAGCTAAACTTCTTTATCCGTATGACCAGTGAACAGCTTGTCGCCTTTAAAAAAGAGTAGTTCGAGGTTACTCTCGACATCTTAACTGGGATTGTTTCTCATAATAAACACTATTCAAATAAATCCATTCAGTTACTCTGATATGGAAGCAGGGCGTTTTCAAGATGTCGTCTGCAGTCTTTGCATACTTGACATCAATGTTGTAGAAGAGGAAGCAGCAAATGCCTAAAAATATAGAGGGAAGAGAAAAAAGGAAAAAGGGAAAGCTGAAGAATAGTTTGAAGACGCTGAAAAGGACAGTGGATCAAAGATCTTGCCAGGAACCAAGGTCCGTCCATCTTTCAGCTCAGCTTCTTCCGCATTTCTAAGCTCTGCTCTGCAACGAACCCACTCTCTCATTTTCCTTCACATTTCCTATAGCCATCGGAGATATTTCAGGCTATTTCTCAACTTCAAGCGAGTTAAATAAAAAAAGCTGAAAATGTAGTTTCTGCCGTCCTTTCTGCTGATTTTAGTTCCAAAACTACGCAGGAAGTGAATGACTCGTAATTTGCCTTTCTAATAATTCGAAAAGGCCGGGATCAGTAATGGACCGCCTACTCCCAAAGTTGATATTTCATTTGGAATTTCAAAATAACTCTTTCCGTCTCTCGTCTTTCTTCAATTTATTAAATCTTCTTGTAATATCTTTGACGAACAGCTTCACCACATTGTTGGAAGAGATTTCGCGATTCTAATCTGTTTTCTTCTTGATCCCTCATCAAGAACCGGTAATGAAAGTTCAATTACGAAATATCTTTCGTCTAAACCTTGAACGTTTCGAAAAACGAACAAACGAATGTATTGTTTTGATAAGCATATAACAGAAAGAAATAAAAGTCAAATATCATAGCGCTTTCAACACTTTAGGATAGAAAGTAGAATAAGAGAGCTATTGGAGTTCGAACTCATTACTTTTGAAGATTTTGTTTGATGTCTCATGGTCTTTTCTGTTTCTTCTACAACTCCTTGTTAGCCAAACACATTTTCATTTCACTTGTTCCGCCCTCTCTCCCTTCAAATGCTCTCGCATAATAATAATTGTGTGCAGTTATCATATGAATAGTTATAATTTTAACAGCATAATCAACTTTATCGTTTCAATTCTTGAATCATTAACTCTTTTGGGCGTCATCTCTCATTTTTCCATAATCTTTTGCATTCTTTCTATTTATATCTTTTTTTCATCAAATTATCTTTAAGACTATCACTTGATTGTGTCGACAGGTCTGTGGTATATGTCTGTTGTCATTCAACTTTCGAAGTTCACCAACCCGTCCACAGTCCAACTGCTCATGCGTCGTTTTTCCCTTTTTAGCATCCTCTCTTTAAAATGTTCTCGCAACCCTTCCAATCCTGCTACTGTCATTGCCTCTCTTCGATGTCCTTACTATCTTTCACTTCTTCAATGAAGTTGCAATGTTTTCATTTCTCGTTATTTTTCCCATCCCTCTCTCTTTCTCCCTTTTTTCAAATAGTTTTTCGTTCGTTCTCTCACCTCTTATACCTCATCATTAATCAATCTGTCTTTACATAGAAAAACTACTTTCCGCTTTCCATACTTTGTTTCACCTTCTCATAAAACTCTTTGTTATACCATTTTCAGCTTCCATCGGTATTCCAAAGCATTGCTCAACACCCAGTTCAGTATCATCTTTTCATATATGATCGTCTGTCTTTAAACATTCAACCATACACTCTTACACATATATAAACATCATGGTCTTAAAGCTATTACCGTTGTGATTTCGCTACTGATGTCCACAGGCAACGCTGAACATCATTGCCTGTTTCCTTCATCTTTTTCTGTACCCGATCTGTCTGACGATTCAATATGCTATTTCATCTATCTATCATTCTCTCTTGTATCAACACTCTTTTCTCTCTGGGTCAGTACTTGGCCGTCCGACCGATGGCTGTGACGTAATTCAACGTGAACCATGATCTTCAGTATTCATTCAGCACTTCGTTTCACATATGTTCATTCAACTATCGTCTAGCTTTTATTTCCTTGAGAGTTTCTTTTATCTCCTTCTTCTGAATGTCCACTTGTTTAGTTTATCATAAGAACATCAGTTACTTTCTTAAAATGATAGTCTCCTTGTATTACTTCCAAGATAGAATAGAACAAAGAGAAATAAAGAGACAGAGAGAGAAAGAGAGAGAGGATGATAGTAGCATAAGAAACAAAAGGGGAAAGCCATACTCTAAGTAATGCATGGCTGCTCCATACAAGTTCATTCATCTCAAGTTGAGAGATCATTTTGCTTTTGTCTCTGATCGATTCTCTGAACTTCATTCAAATGTCATCTCGAACATCTAATTGTCAACTCTCTTTTAGTGAAAAAGACCAATTATTATGATAGAAAACATTGAGAAGCCAAAAAAAAAGATATGGAAAAGACACAAAATGTAAAGTCTTTTCTCTTTCTTCTTTTCGTCACATACACATTGCTTCAAAAGGCACGAATCAAACAATTTCTGCTTCATCTTTATCTAAACATTTTTCTGTGCGTGACTTTTCGAACAACGATAAGAGCTGTCGACGTGCTCAATAATGATATTGATAAGACAGAATATGCTTGAAAGATGAAAACTTACATCTCTATAAAACTATTATATGTCTCTCTCTCTCAGTTTTATACTTTAAACTCCCTTACTCTCCGCAAACCCTTTTTGTATTTCATTTTTCAATCTGATCATGGCTCTATGTTTTTACCGTTACAACTCTTGAGTCTTCAACAAGTAGGATGGGTTAGAGTCCTGCATTGACTGATTCATAGTTTTTTTGGGAGCAAGTCTCCAAACTGTTTCTCTATCTCGAAGCTCCTCTCACTCTCCTATATATCAATTATCTTTTCTACTTCTATCCGATTCGAATGTTCGATAGCTTCATTTTCTTCTCCCATCCATTGAAATGAGTTTTTGAAAGTTGTTATACTATTTCTAATTTCAGAGAATGGCCATATTAATGAGTCCTTCTGTTTCTTGTGATTCACAAATGTTAAACTGTACTGATTTCTGTGTGGTGTGTGGAGATAAAGCAATTGGAAAACATTATGGAGCTGTTGCTTGTAATGGCTGTAAAGGATTTTTCCGAAGAAGGTGGGTAGATGAAGTCAGATGAACTAATTTGTGAAAAAACAAAAAATCAACTTCTGAATATACTGAGGCTGCAAAGAGATGTGAGATAAAAAAAAGAAAAGATGGTGAGAAGTTGAATGTTCTTTGTAAGACTAGTAAGGAAGAACTTGATCTACAGTGATGGAGTTTCTACTCTACTGTTTATCATTTATTCTTATTCAGAATCGATTCAATTATAACCAATTATATGAAAAACAAGAAATATCAACTGATTTGTATGACTTTCAATAATTAAGCATTTCATTACAGCGTTTGGCAGAACCTACAATACACATGCAGATTTAACAAGCAATGTAACATTGACAAAGATCATAGAAATGCATGCAGATATTGCCGGTTTCAAAAATGTTTGGCCGATGGAATGAAACCTGAGGGTATTGTTTTGTTTTTTATTCACTCTTTATATTGTTATTACAGCTATACAAAATGAGAGAGATCGCATAGGAAGCACGAAAAGGCGAAAGCGGAGTATCGGAGCAGTTGATAACGTTTCCGATTATGAACGAACACCAAGTCCAAAAGCTGTAAGTGATAAGTATACTATGAATACTTCTCATTATTATCTTTAGCCTCAAGATGTTGGAAATACAACAGCATCTAGGCGACTCATAGAAGTTCTTATGGATATCGAAAACCGTTTAGTTTCCAATCAGAGCATGACTGCATTATTGCGGGATGGACAAGAGTTATCTAGCAGACAAAGAGCAGTTAATCATCTCATTGGATGGACAAGCATGCTTCATCCTCTTCCTGATATTCCGCTCGGCGATAAGGTGTGCTTTCATATATATATATATGTATATATTCATCAGTAACTGATGCTGTATGAAAAAAGAAGGGAGAGTGATAGTCCACTTCTGGTGTCTCACAAAGAAAAAAAACCAATTATTTTTCGATCACTATTTTCTTGTACTATCCTTTGCATCCCACCCATATATACCGTAACCAACTATCATACATCACAAACGAAATCGTGCACGGTTGAAGAACGGATCATTGTTGAACACATGAAACTACCGTTGTTCTATGCAGAAACCCGATTCATATTTGTTACAACCTTACCGTAGCTTTTCATTTGAACAGAGAGACACCGTAAGAGCGTGAAAGCATTCTGATGTCAGTTTTACGATTCACGTGATTCACGTGTCTTGTGGAAAAATTCAAAAGTTTTCATCGTGATGATTCGATCGCAATGAAACGGTTGATTTTCTCTATGAACTCAATAGCATAGTTACTATTTCTGTTTTTCAGGGACTTCTCTTAAAAGAGGCCGGTCCATCGTTTTCACTTGTTTCAATTCTTCAACGAAGCTATTCCTTGTCTCACTTGGTGCTCCCAAATGATCAGCTACTTAGCTTATCGTCAATTCAACAGCCAGAGCTTCATAGAGCAGTATCAAGGATTCTAGATGAGCTTCTCACTCCATTAAGACGAATCCATGCCGATCAAGCTGAATTCAGTTGCCTCAAGGTAGAGTCACTGTTGTTTTAGCTAAAAGTAACATACGGTATTATAGGCCCTTATCCTGCTTTCACCTGACAATGTCGGTATGAGTGCTAGCAGTAAGGATAAACTAAAAGAAGCCAGAGATGCTTTGCTCAAAGCTTTATTCACTTACTTATCACAAACTTTTGCTCCATTAGATGCTTCTCTCAGGTATGAGTCGTTTGAACAAGATATTTAGAAATAATTTGATTTATTAGGATTTCATCCCTCTTAATGATTATACCAGCAGTGGTTTCTATTAGTCTTTCTATAATCAATGATCCAACTCTCTCTGAAATTTTTGGAATGGGTGAGAGATCTAAGAAAGATGATCAGTGCAAGGCAGATGGATCACAAATAGAAAATGTTGTGTCGGATAACATGAAAGCAGCTACAGATGCCATAATGGCTCAACTGATGGCTAACCAACAACTCTTGCTCAATATTAGTTCTGGATCTCCTCCATCGAGCTCTCCCAATATCTTACAACCGTATCAACCCTATCTACCGGCGACAACAATGTCGGTAAGTGTCTTTGCATCTTCTTATTTCTTGAGTTGAATCATATGATGACAATCAGTTTTCGAGCTATACAAAACAAAAAATTTAGTATTTGCTAATAAAATCAGAATGAACATTGTTCTTTCAGTACTTCAACAATCCGTCTCAGCCTGTGAAAGTCTTCCTGTCATAACACTGTTGTATTTTTAACCAAACCTCATCAAGGCTATTAATTCTGAGATCAACAGCGTGCAAAAAACTGTAAGAAAATGAGCTTATGACCCACTATAGAAACTGCTGCTCGTTGTCCTCTAGTCATTTCCATTCCATTACTAAGAGAAGCTGAAACAACACGGATAACCAAATGTTCATTGGTTTGTATCATCCAAGATTCTATTATTTCAATATTAATCCATATATATATATATGTACCCAAGCATCTCCCCTACTACACGTGTCTACACTCAACTACTAATGATTCAAGTTTATTGAACATGTTTTTTATTCTTTCAATCTGCATAAATCACTGATTACAATAAAATAAAATTGAAGATAAGTTCACATAATGCTTCATGACAGATGACATCCAATGGCAAATGAATATACCATGGCCTCTACATGAATTTCTTTCTCGATACTTCCCAAATAACGCAATAAGTCTTTCGTTTCAACCAGAATCACATCGATGGCCTGCAAATAACACAATCATATCAATAAAAGCGTATCATAAAGTTCATCGTCAATTTCTGATCGTTCAAACTGAAAGGCTCTTCCGATGTTTGTAAGAGCAGCAAAGCCGTCCATAAAGAGCATAATAACACTAAGCGTGAAAGAGGTTTCCGTAAACATGAGATTATACAACGCAGGTAGTGCAATGAATTTTTGTCCTCAGAAGTTTGTTGAGAAAATAAAGAATTTTAACTAGCTTTGTGCAAAAGTACTCTCTCGAGGAAAGAGGAAGCGAAGATTCAATCGGGTTGAGTTATCAAATATGTATTGAACTCAACTGGTAAACATCGAAACGTGATGATTGTTAGGACGGCGCAGCCTCAATTACGAAACTTTCATCGATAGAACAAATTAAAGTCCAAAGATGAAAATAATTAAATGATAATTAAATGATGAAGCTGAGAGCACGTAGAGATTCACTTATCGGTCACGCAAAACTTTCAAAGACGAATTTTTTGAGATATGGTTCATGAATGTACAAAAAAAATTTCTTCTTATTGATCTTTCTCTAAGCAGTAGAAGTTTAGCTGACAGCATTATAAATAACCTCTTCCGAGTCCAGTTTCTGTACAGGGTTCTGATTTTCGGCCAGATCTCCATTCACATTCACAGTTACGAATTGTATTGAATCGTCGGTCAACCCTGGATCTAGTCCTTGGACTCCACCGCTTCTAGAACAACAAACTGATGCTCAAATTTCGAAGACGAGATTACTTATGTATAATATCTGAAGAAGATATGACGTAGCCTGTTTCCTCCTTCAATTCTCTAATAGCACATTCCTCAACCGTTTCACCTTTGTCAATGAGGCCTAAATTGTTCGACACGTCATCTCCTTTTTGTCAAGAACGAACCAGCTGGAAATTCGAGAGACCATCCTTTCATCGGGATGCGATACTGCTTCACCAGAATTATGAACTTTTTATTATCTTTTATTAGGAAGGCAATTATATCAACTCCGTCAACTAGAGCACCTTCACGTTTAGTTGTTCTATGAGATGACTGCCAGACCTGAATAATTCAAGTATCTCTAGCATTATTATTCAACAAACCCCAGTTACGCCATTGGCTGCTTTGAACTGAACTTGTCTCGTTGTGAGCCATTGCCCGCTATAGACAGTTTCTTCGTTAGTAAGTTCATAGGGACATGAAGCATTAGTCATTTCTTCAACAACCTAGACAGAGAATATCTTCAACAATTTCTTATATCACATATCAAAGAACATTCATATGAGAAACAGATTTCGGTGTGATAAAAGCTAATATAATGATTAAAGAACATTTACTGTGAAACGGAGAAGAAAAAAGAATGCAATTAGTTTGTTTGAGCTTACTGAGTAAAAGAGTTTTCACAACAGATTCGTCTCAATATACAACAGATATCAACAAGAAGCACCAGAAACACAAGAAATCCGAGTAATCATGCAAAGCATACAGGAAATAAGGCATGAAGTAAGAAATAGTTTCAATCATCATTGATACACCGCCGTTACAAACTATAACTCCGATCAATATCATTTTCTGCTTTCTTAAAGACTGTGGAATGTTTTTCTGCTATGAAGAAAGTGAGAGCTGCAATGATAGCAGCTATAGCAAGAGGAGTTAACTGCCATTGTAGTTTGAGATTACTTCCGTAAAACATACATACTGTACATGACACTGCCTGAATTTTTTGTAAAAATAATTATCATTCAGTCTCTGCATCTATCCTCAGAGAAAAGTTGAAAAGATGTACTTGATGTTGTTTTTATGTTTGTTTAGAGCAGATGAGTTATTTTCAAGCCATTACTGCGAAAGTTAACTTTTACCTCTAGCACTTGTGCAGAGAATTAGCTTTATACTTTTCATGGAAATGGAACTCACATGAAAGAACTTATGTATGGCAAATGCCTGACGAGTTTGGTGTTCATAAGCTACGGTGACAAAAGAGTAAATCTGTGTATTGACACAAGCATCAGTGAAACCGAGCATTATCCCTACAGCTAAAGCGAGCGGAACAGTATAAAAAAAAGTTGCGAGAATGAAATTGAATTAGAACCTCGGCGTGATCAACGATTTTCCATACGAATCTTCATAGGGGGAATTGCTTGGTAAGTTGATGACAGTAAGAACATAAGATATTAGACCCACTGATATTCCAAAAAAGACTATCGGATAATTCCCGAACTTACTTGTTCGCTTGCCGAATACACCGAAAGCTATACCAGCTGAAAAGCAGAATCAGCGTTACTTGCGAAAAGATCCGAATACCAAATAGTTCTCCCACTCCGACGCATATGGAATTTAATCCTATCAACACATTGGTATTAATCTTGAACAGTTTGGTGAATGATAGGGATGTAGAATAAACAGAACTCCAGAAGCTTAGTTCCATACCAGAGTATGCAAAAATAAAACAAAGGAAAAACATTTTTGGTTGCAGTAATAAATTCCACGAAGCTTCTAAACTTGTCGAATATAAATGCTTTCTCTCAGAACCAACTCAGTTCATTCAAACAGTCTGATAAACCGTTCTCGGTAGTGGAGGCAGCTGGCACGTCCGTGTTACAATCTTCCATTTTACTTGGTAATAGAGCAAAAGTTATGTTTCCTTCATAATGTAAAAGTAAGTGAGTTCAATCATAGGATATTAATTCAGAAGCCACTTCAATCAGAATGAGTTCACGTCTTACCTAGAAAGCAGACTGCAGCGAAAGCGCCATACAATTGATGCATCGTCTGGTCTGAGATGGTGACACGTTTGTCGTGACCGAACATAGCCACAAGAAAGACACCACCATAGATGAAGCTGCACATATTATTTTAGTGAAGAGTGAATATACTACCTGCTACTGTAAATGATCCACGCAATTGAACTGTTCCTAGCTATAGTATTCTCGTTAGAATTAATAGCAATGCTATGGCCAAACGCCGTCCACAAAACTTGAAAGATTCGAAAAAAAATCCATTCTAACTAAAACTAAAAAAACTCACGACCAGCTCCGAAACCTTCTATAGCAGAAGATACATACAAATAATACGGATTTAGAAACTGGAAACCGAGCATAAACAGTGTATAAGCTTTAATTACAGAAATAAATAAAAACAGCACAAAACGAATCTCACTAGAACTGCCTAAGACAAGGCTCCACTTAACATTCATAATTTTTAAAAATACAGGAGCAACTGCGTTAGAGAAGATAAAAGCCCCGTATACTATTGTTTGACTGTTTGGGATTTATTTCTATTTTCTGTAAAAAAAGAAAACCTATAATAACCAGCATGCTCGGAAATTTTTGAATCTGATCTGTGCTTTCCTGCTAACACCGTTTCGACAATGAACCCCTATGTAAAAGCTTGTAGGAGAAGTATATGTTGTCTACATACCTGAGAAGTAAACGCAAAGAACACACAGCACATACCTATTCCAATTTGGACGACATTGCGAGTTTTCGGTTCAATCAGCATTTGCTAAGCGGAAAGAAATGTTAGTACATTGTATAGGATGGAATGCTTGAATTCTGAACCAATTTTCTTATCGACTTCCACTAGAGATCTTTTACGATCACATTGCTTTCAAATGAAGATCCACTTATGTAATTTCTTAAATAATTGCAGAATAGTACGCAACAACAAAAAAAAACACATTGTATTCATTTTTTATTTTCGCTGATATATCCGAAATGCATCTGAGCAGTGATTTTTTGAAGATTCTTTCAATCGGATGTGCTGATTGCCATGCAGAAGGGATTGAGTTAAGGTAGTTCGAATATTGAACGATGTCATTACTGGTTCAAACTCAAAGCATAATCTAGCAACTACGTGTTTCTCATTCAGTTCAATGAGAAAGATAAGTATTTTTTTTTATTTCCAATATCAATATGAACACACTGAGCTTTGGACGAGAAAGAAAAAAAAGAAAATACAAGAGAAACTGCAACAAAGCAAGTCGAAAACACAATATTACTTTAACATCTGGCAAGACATACATTAAACGCAACCAATCCGTACGTGAGCAACACTCTAACAAACGTAATTGCGATGAATGCTTTTGGCGCCTTTTTCTTGCGCGAGGGTGAACGTATTCAAATTGTTTTCGAGACACGGAAGGTTGAAGATTGAGTGATGTCACCATTGGCTCTTATCCAACTTAAGGTCCGACTCTGCCGTAAGGAGTCCGCGAGCCGATCTCGGCAAATGATCGAGACTGATCGCAAAATAACATTTTTTCTAGACTTAAGCCAAATTTGGTGGTTTTACTAGTTCAAGCTTGAAACTTCCTGTCATTCAACTCAAGGTCCGGCTCACCCGCAGGAATTGGTACAAACCGTCCGGCTCAGAAACGTTTTCCAAGAAATCCTTCCATTTGGCTGAAAAAATGGAAGTTCTTTCATTAATCTATCATTACCCCGTAATGATTGGATGAACTAGCAGTAAAAACAAAATATGTCATAAAACAGTGGATGTTCTCAACTGGATGAATAGTCCAAGTCTGAGGAATCGCTGCCAGGTCAATACGTCTTGAATAATACTTCCTGCTGAGCATAAAGCATCACTTTTAAGTCATGATATTACTAGAAAGGTTTTATTAAAGAGAATTTATGAAGTGTATTAAAATCAGGCTCATATTTGAGCGCTAATATACCAGCATTCAAGATGACCTAGACAGGAAAGAAGTAGAAATATGTTAACTACAGCTATTGTACAAATGTGGGAATCAAGGATTTTGTGTCATAAGCCGTACGAAACAGTTCTGACAAACTCGTACAGGTCGAGAGATCTTCATGTGAGTAATATGTGATTCGAATCTGCTACATCTGGAAAACAAAAAATATCATTTGCACAACTGCTATGGCGATACTTGGAGCAAAAAATTTGTCCACAATTACGGCAATGATGTTTACGTTCCGCAATCGTGAATTTTTGCTGGCATTGCGTGCACCGTTGACGGGTAACATCCTGATAAAAGTAAGCTTACAAAAATAGTTCAGCTCAATTTACTTGAACCCAATGATCTAATCGCCCACCATCATCTCCTATCTGCCAACACCAAACACGCCCTATACCATCTCCGACGTAAAGAGATCGATGATCCCTAAGAAAAATTCGTTTACAGACTGGTTGTGGGCTGCTTACTTGCTAGGTATTATAGAAGTGATTGGTGCTGGATGAGTGTTATCTGGACGATTAAAAGCCGTATGCATGGTCAAAGCAGCACGCTGCACTAAAACACGGACAAATGCTGGATGAGAAGCTGAACGCCTAGGAGAAGAAGGCGGTTCTGGGGAATGTGATAATGAGCCAGTAGAGGAAATGGCGCTGTCTTGATTGCTTGTCATCTTTAAACGCTTTCGCTGTTTCTCCAGACGTTGGTAGAGAATAGTAGTAGCTGGAGTTGGTTCGACCCTAAAGTAAATAATGCGGTTCGGTTCAAAGTATTCAAGATCTTACTCAACGAAACTTTGTGTATCATTCTGCTCAACAGAACCATCATTCTTAATAAAAACACAAGAATATATTTTAACAACACCATCCGAAGTTCCGCAGAGAACAACGTTATCAGAATCCCACTCATTAATCTTAAAGGGTGGTTTTGTCGTGCTTTCTGGATTTGTCGAAAACATACCGTAGTAAAAACTAAAGATAGTATCATTTGACCAGTGTCACCAGGTATGTTAGTATCGCAAGTATTTATATCTGCAAGCTTATCACCATTTATCGACCATAGAAATAGGTGAGAAGAACAGGCAGTTGCAATATCTCCCTGAAAGAAGAAATGATTTTAGGAATATAATTGAAAAAAACCGTTGTTTCATTGACCGCGACTGCTGAAACTGTGCCCGGATGTTGGGGAAGTTGTCTTATCAAAGACAACTCTGACTGATGCCATATGATTACAGATCTATCACGGCTTGCCGAAACGAGAATAGCATGTAGGGGACACACAACCTTAGATGTTCGCTCATAAAACAATTGTTGAGTGTAAACTAACCATAGCAGTCACAGCATCAGAGTGACCATCCAACACTTTTCTTAACTTCAAGCACTGAGGCTTCTTCTCCAATGTCCAAACACTATAAAATAAATGAATTCTGTTCAAAAAGTTAGCTTATACCTTATACATCCTGTAGTGCTGCCAGAAAAAATTGTGCGTTCATCTCCTACTGATATACATGTCAACTCGTCAGAATCTCCCATCTCATATATGCAAGTAGACTAAAACCTTGTTTGTCACATTTGTACAAATCGAAAACTTACTTTGTCCGAATCAATGTTGCCTATTCTTAAAGAACGATCTGGTAGACCCCATATAATATAACGGTTCAATCCTAATGGTACTTTATTTTGCTCGAGAACTATGAGTCCAACTCGATCATTATGGACCAGAGTTCCAACAGATCCTCTGATCTCTGTAAGCGCGACAGTTAAAGCCACATAATCTGTCTTACCCTTTGTAGGAGATTGCGGCGGTTTCAGAGATTGCAAGGAGTGATAGAAGTACCGATTTGTGGTAACGCCAGGAGTGTTACTGAAGCCATCTGTTGGATTCACCCTTTTTCGAGGATGTGGCTTTTTGAAGAGCTGAGTTGGGATCTGACCAAAATTATTAACGAAACCTATAGATAATGAAGATTGATTCGATGGCAGTATGAGTAACTCACCTATAGTGGCATTCCTGGTCAATGGGTCCTCAATAGACTCAAAGTCCACACTGCCTTCATAGAATAAATGATGAAATAGATTATTCGCCTGAACTCATACATTACACCACATGGTCTTATAAGCTACTCACTTTGATAGACTCTTCCCCTGTTTGCTTGTGTCCAAAAACTAGATCTATCCATTCATTCAGATGAGATGATACGTAGTCGCACTCCAAAGCCTGCCTGTGTAGACGAACGAACTCTCTAGGATCGCCGTGGGCCCACGGCGGTAGTATCACATCATTCAAAACTACACCATTTTGTTTCGTTCCCAAGTCAAAATTGTTTTTGTTCTGTGAACAGTTTCTAAACACAGAAGCTGATAAAATATGTACCTGGAACATTTCAGGCAGTGTGAAAAACTCTGGTATGAGTTCTTTCACGTCGGCCATGTTATTCATACTTGCGCTAACATAGGCATCCCCCACACTGTGGAACATCCTATCAGCCAGATCAAAATGACCTCCCTAAGTTCCAAAATCGAAAAACTGAGAAGAGTTTGGTTAAACCTGTAAGCTCAGAAACTGTTGTGTGAATGGCTCAAGCCTGACAAGGTAGGAAACAACTATCATAGCGGATGAATAATGTGTTCCGTACATGTAAGGCGGAGTCTCGCCCGTTGGGTCATCCCATTCCCTATAACGTTTCAAAAACTGTTCAAGTCTTTGAGCGCTCTGAGCTCCCATTGGCTTGGAAAAATCTCTAAACGTTTCAGGGTTTGTTAAATCCAAAGTTGAAGATGTATAATCCGAGAGAACCCAAGGAAACACAGGATATTGCGACAAATCATTATAAGACCTTACAAAGAATTACAGTTTACTTACTATGAATTACTTAAACTAACCTTCCAGCCAATGTGTTTAAATGCATCAGATACTGAAAATTTGTTATCTGGCCATTCAACCATCTCTGTGTTACTGATTGTTGTCCTGATGCGGTAAATTAAATAGATAGAAACGGTATGAATGTACCAAGGAGGAGAGAATTCAAAATGCTAGCTCTTCCACTTTGTTCTACGGCTAAGGATGCTTTTTGCCCGCCTACAGACTCAGAAGCTATTGTAATCTTGCTCTTAGCCATAGACAAGAGCCTAAAATAACCGTCAACCCAACAAAAACAATAAAAAAATACTTCTCATAAACGCGATCTCTCATTTTTTTCGGGAAAGCTAGAAGATAATTTCTCCCATCTGCACTGAATAGTTCTAAAGCGATAGGTTGCAGTAAGTACCTGTAAGAAGAGTATGAATATATTTCTTAACTATTTTTTTCGATAACCTTCTTTTATGAACTTCTCGGATGTCTTCGTAACTGAATTTACTACATAAGCGCGAAGCTTTCGGTGGTTTTGTCGAACCAGTGGCCGTGTAGGGTACTATTGGATCATGGAGCCTAGAAATATGGCTAATGAACGGCCAGACCAATAACGCCATACTCAGGACTGAGAAAATCCAAGTCTCGGATTTCCCTTGTTTTTAATAAAGTGAAGCCATCAACAACGTAAAAATTCTCTTTCCCGAATAAAAGCAATCCTTCTGAAGTTTCGAGTCCCTAAAAAAACGATAACCTTTCAGACAATTAGAATTTTTACCTGAATTCTAGCACATCTAAACATACTACATAGTTGCTCTCCCTGTTCTAGGAGACGTAAAAGTGTTTGATTATCCGGACCTCTTTTCTTCTGTTTAGCAGATTCTCGCCTTTCCTTCTCGGACTCTCTTCCGATAGACTGGGACTCATTCACTGAGCAGTCATCCGTGTTCTCTTCCTCAGGGGTTGGTTCCTAGATAATGAGAATCTAATGTGAACATTACTGAGATAAAACTTTTTCAACAGAATGTTCCTCTTCAATTGATTCTCCCATATCCTTTGTCTCTGAATCAGATCCTTTATTTTCTACGACTGCCGAAGGGTGAGACGACAAGCGACGAATCAATGACGAGTTAAACTCTTAAAATTCTGCTAAGAACGAAAGGAGAATGAACACAAACGGGCTAGATCATATAAAGGAGATTGCTCTTCAGAAGGAGTTGTAACCGTAACAGCCTGGTCAATTATTCGTGAATCCATCGTTCTAGACCGTCTCAAAACACAAGCTTCGTAATACAGTTTACTATCTTTTGATATAGCCACTTTAGCTCTGATGGCTTTCTGCAAAAAAACATGGAGTTCAATATGATGTTAATTTACAAACCGCAGACGGGATGTCTAAATGAGGACGATACGGATAGATATGGTAGAACAGACGGTTAGGTATCAATTTCCTACGAATTCGAGAAGTTCCTTCAGTTGTATCTAGCTTGTACTTATCTAACTTCGAAGCCTGAAGATAGTGATTAATTTTTGTTTTTAAAACTTTCCACCTTGGCTGGACCCCAAATTCCACGCTCCCTAGTGAGTTCCGCTTCTAACTGATGCCACTCTTGCAAAGACCATTTTCTAACATGTGCATGCCATTCATGATAGCGGGTAGCTTGAGTTTGCAATAACTCTCTGATCAAACTGATATGAACACGAAGCCACATGTGAATAACCTGAAAATGCTGATACTATTAAGATGAAATGAAGAATTTCTACATTTCTATCGACACTAATATTTTTCCAAGGAGATCCAATTATAACAGAACCAGCAGACGACAGAGTCCTCTTGCCTGCAAGGCGTGTCAACCCAGTGGCCATTTTGGTGATTTTCTGGAAAGATATTCACTCATTTCTATAAAACACTTTCATCTAACAAAGGTTAACTGCTGCTGAAAATCTTTTGAAACATTTTGCATTGATGGGGCAACTTGTGAATCAACGTATTGCTGCCACAGAACACTAGCCGAATTAGCCAACAACGCTCTTGAAGCATTCAGCTCACTAAACTTTTGAATTTACATACTTCAATACTCTCGCCTTGAAGGGTTGTTTATACCTGACAATCGGTTTCTTGAACGCATCTTCTAATAAACTTCTCCTTGAACAAAGAACATCCGTCCACACTCTGGCGGCACACAGAGCAACCTGTAAAAAAATCATTTTATGAAGAAAACATTTAAAACCTGCGCGCTGGCCTTGTCCAGTGGAGAAAATGATTCACACATAATATCTGGTGTTACTGAGAGCATAAAAATCAAATGTGTGAGAGAAGTGAAAAACCATGGCTCATTAGCAGACAAAAAGATATGTTTCGAGGAGACTATTAAGGACAGCGTATCGAGAACAGACATTTGCACTGAAAAGAGAGCCTTCTTTTCGAGAAGCAACATGTTATCTTTTACCTGGAACAGTGTCGATTGGCCGACTCAGAATGAATAAAGCACATCTCATCATGGAAGCTACGATGCTTTCAAGGTTGAAGCCCTAGGAAACATGATCAGAATATCATAACACAACTTACCTTATTTTCAGAACGATTGCCTATAGAATGGAGGGAAAGGAGGTGGTTCAAAAGGAATTTTGGACTGTCCAATAGATTTCCGTTCCACTGAGTATCAAGAACACGAGAAACAAAATGCGACACATTCACAGAAACCTAATTCTTCATCTATTCGAATTATTTTCTTTGATTAAGCACCTGTGTAAGACTCTGAAGAGTTACGTTTTGCGGAAGTGCAGAAGAAACCAAAAGATCCGTGCTGATTAAGTGTGTAAAACACTGTAAAAACGAAAAAGTACGATTTCGAACGAACTGATTATTTTCCTACCTCATGAACGAGAACTGTATACAGAACTAACTGATATCTTCTTGTGTTTCCTTTTTCAGCGAATGACTGAGAAAATATCTTATAATAGGAAAAAAACAACTTGTGCTTACATCGATGATACTATCAATCAAACTCAACTCTTTTCCATTTCCAGAGACATTGAAATCATTGGAGAGTATTCTCTTCAGAAGATCCAATGCTGCCTTGACCAGTTGATTGGAAGAAACTGTAACGACAGTTACCGACTGCTTCAGAACTGATACAAACCAAAATTGCGAAAATCTGCTAATTCAATCTCGGGTTCAGAAGGAGCAGAATAAACACCCAGAGCATTCGTGTTAGGAATTAGGCAGGAAAAAAATGCTAAAAACAATTCCTCTGAATGAGCAGCCAAAAAAAAGTTGGATGAATTCTGATACATGAAACCAAGCATTTGAATGATAGATAGACCGTAACCCTGAGCAGTCGTCCGGTCAGTCTAAAATGGAAGTTTTTTAAAGAGTGAAACAAGTTTCAACTTACCTCATTGCATTCATATAGAGCTGCACGGATCATAGACAACAGCGGGATCATAGCATCAAAGCAAAACTCAGTATTACTTATAGCTTCGTAGACAGAACTGAGAAATGATAGTAAAGATTAGAGGGGTATTTTCTTACTTTTGGGGGGATAAACCGTAAACATGAGACCAAATATGATCGATATCGAATATGTCACTGAATCTCAAATCCTTGATGGGCTGAAACACATTTTTTCAGACACATTTTTTTATTATTCAAAAACATACCTGTCCTACTAGAATAGATAACATAGCAAGAAAAGCATGAGGTTTCCCACAGTGTGCCGGCATAACATGCTCCAATGCAGCAAACCCCGGACAATTTTTCAAGTCCGGATTCATATCAATTTTACCACCAACAGATCCTCCGTGCGCTGACACGGAGAAGCCGAGCACTACCTTCAATGACCAATGCTCATTAAGTTCACCCGAATAAATGAAACCGCTGCTCTGTTCCTAACAATAGCTTCTGCATCACATAACCAGCCGCCATTGCAAGAGCCTTCTTTGAAAGCATTAAGTAGATGAGAATGTGAAAGTATAGCCAGCAAAATTCTTAGTGCTAAAAAAACCGTCCCCGAATGAACGCCAGGAGATAGAAGAGCAAATATCCAATCGAAACCAAGATTTTTAACAATCTGTTCTGAGAGACTGAAGATATCATTATGACACTTGTTCTCCTATGTATGACTTACTGATGATTCAATTGAGGGTTAGAATGAGAAAGGAAATTTGCTAATATGTTGAGCATCCTATTGCGAATATAAGTCATAACTATTGAAGAGCTCTCGGGATTTGTTTTGAAAGCCTCTAACTGCAACTCCGCAATATGGAATGGCAGCTTCAACTCTTGACAAGCATTTGAGTAACTGAATATTCACGATAAAGAATTAAAAGAGGAAATAACTACTCCGACGATAGGGAAGCAGCAATCATTTGGCCGATCTTTAAAATACTTTTGCTGTCGGATGGAGGCTGTAATATTGCTGCCAATAAGTTGAAGATTATCTTAAGAATTTTGTGACGTGTGTTGTACGAAGAAAATACTCACTTCATTCGATGAGCGAGATATTTTTTCTTTCTCGAAAAGCAAAAACAGTAATCGTGACAGCAATGGAGACTTCCTCAATGTACTCAAATTCTCCCTCTGATGACTGAAAGAAGAAATTGTACACTCGATACATACGAAGAAATTTTACTCTGTGATCAATTCGTAGAAATGATCAAGTATCATTCGATTCACATCATCCGGTGCGTTTGCCCAAACATCCAAGTCGCATAATAAATCTTCGAATGCCTGAACTATGTTTTTCAGCAGAAGGTCGCCGAAATAAATAAACCTGCGAGTTTGGAATAGAAGCAGTTTCCTTCGACGTGTCGAGAGTTCCTGCTAAACTAAAAATCATATGCATGATATGGGAGTTTAATAATTGAGCTTTGTCTTCCAACAATACAGCTAACGTCTTAACATTGAATTAAGTTGAAGGTTTGCAGGTGCTCTCACCTGATAAGCACGATGAGATTGAAGAGCAGTTTTCAGATTGCTATTGGACCTCAAAGCGGAAAGCAAGGCTTTTAGAGAAGCATACAAGCCATCGGAATCTGAAGCCATCGCAACTAAACCATACAAGCAAGCGAAACCGCCCATGGAATCGAGGAGTCGAGGAACAGGACATGGCGCAAAAGACCTCATCCCCAAATATCTTGAGAGTAGCATTAACTCCGTAAGGAAAAATATGTCTTACCCAACAACAACTGCTCCGAAAGAACGGGCTGGTCCTGGGGAATGAGTGGCTGTATTTAAATGAATACGCAGAGGTGTACTGTTATCCAGAGGTGATAACCCAAGGTGTGAAGCTAACAGTTCCGAATCAATTTTGCTATAAACCGCTCGAATTTTAGACAGAGTAAGTTCACAAGTAGATAGCCCATTCAAAGACAGAATTACCTCAAAAACAATTATGAACACAGGGGAAAAATTCAAAACTACTTTTTCTTCAGCGAGTAATGGTGTTTTTCCAGGTCCAACTGTTTGAAAATTTCCAACATAATGGGGCTCTAACTTGTATAAACACGCAATAATCTCAATCGACAGGGCATCTTCTATTAGGAAAGTTGATGCTATACGGTATCTAGAAGCAGAAACGTTGAAAAATACACATCAATATCTGAGTGGAACCGTAATCTACTAGGTCTTCGGATGGATGGTAACGTGCCTAGGAAAGTATTGACGGCCAAGGTTTGTGCCAGCTGTGTTGCTCCTCCTCCGGCTGTTTGAACAATATACTGTAGCTTTTGTGTTGAGATTAGTTTTCCATTTATGTAAACCAAAGCCTTATAATAAGCAATAGAATACATGAGCAAACTCAATTAACATACAGTACTAGTTTTCAGAACTGATCGGCAGAGAACAACAGTTAAATGAAACCATTCCATAGGCCGTACAACATCAGCTAAAGCTACTCTTATAACCTGCATTGAATCCGTCAATGTCTTCAACAAATAAATATAATAACCTTATCCGACGAGAAGTTTGAAATTTTTTCGAGATCGGCCCCAGCATTCTCAAACTCCTCCGTGGAAATCAGTAAACTTTTATCTATTGCACTCAGTTGGATTGACAAACAAGATAAATTGGAGAGTCCCTGCATTGAAAAATGTGTTGAAGAAGATAACATTAAACAAACTTGTTTTCTTCTTTCGTCCTGCCATGCTACAGTTCTGCTGATTGTAATTAAACGCAGAGGATGCGCATCCACTTTCTTATCCGAGAAGCTTTCGATGAACAACCACCTAAATACCACTACATGTGTTAAATGAAGGGATGGCTACTGACGTAGAGAAAGACAATCCATTTAGCGGAGGGAATATACGTTCCGATCTTGGTGTTGAATATAGAGGAGCAAGGGAAGGCACAAACAAGCATCCAAATCCTTCAACTGACATATCATATTCTACGAATGATGGCGCATGGTTCAGTCTTTGATCCTTAGGTGTCATCATTGAAACCAAAGCTCTCACTCTGGAGTAAGTGAATCACATAGGAACATCTCGAGGAAAATTACCTCTGTAGCGGAACAGGTCCACCCTCGTTGGCTCTACTACTATCTTGCACATCAAGAACATCCAAAGAATGACAGCATAATGGAAGATCCAAACGAAGAAATTGTCTGAAAACAACCATCCTAGCTTAAATATCTCACAGTTGTACCTCAGCTGGTTAGGTTGCATTGCCTGATAAGACAAACGCTCTAGTAGATAGTAAAATGATGGAAGTAGCACATGATCATCACATAAGAACAGTTTCTCGGATATAGATAGTAAATGCCTCGGCATATCCACCTTTAGAATTATTTGAATGTACTAAAATCGTATCTTTGTACCTGGCACATCATTTGTTGATTTCTTTCAGGTTTCAAAAGAGCTTTCAGCAATAGAGAACAATACAACTGTGAAGCGACTGTCCACTTGTTCAAATCGGATTTGATTGAGGGAAGTAGACCTAGAATCGATAAGACAGCCCCGGGATGTACCTAAACAATGAAAAACTTCAGGGCTCTGATTCTTACTCATCTAACCAGCAAAGAGGAAGACCATGAAACGATATCTCCTTCAAAAGAAGTATCAGCTGACCATAGCACATCCGTGGTCATTCTTTAATAAATAATTTTTTGCTCCAAGCGTAGACTTACTTTTCATAGTTATCCATAGCCATATTAAATAGAAATCGGATCATACTACATGCATAGAAAATAGACAATGGCATTCCTGTAGGAATCTTTCTGAAACAAAATGCACGTTTAAGAGCAATAGATTCAAGTTAAACTCTGAATTATTAAGATCTTGCATCTTAAAAACGGAGTGGCAAGCACCGAGTTCTTCTTTGAACTCGGTTACTTGCTTTTTCCATTCTGGTAGGATAACATCGATAACTTGTGATTTGTTAAAACATCCCATCAACCGAAGAACTGTGGTTATGCTATCCCAGCCCACCTAACGGAAACACATAGTATGTGAAGAGCATTGTGAAACGAACCTCAGAAAAGAAATATTTAGCATTAGATGGCTCAAACCGCATACTAATAGAGAGCACTTTGAAAATCAAATGCACGAAATCAATAAGAGCAATGAAGTACTCCGTATCGCCTTGAAAAAAAAAAAGTGAGACGCTTTCTTTGATTAGTTTACTTTCGTTCATTTCAGAATTACTGAAAACATCTTCGAGAGCCAGGAATAATGAGATGAAGGAGAGGTATCCGCCGGATTTTCGAAAGTATACTCGGACCTTATGAGATTCACGTAAAACTCCAAGTACACACTGAAATAATCGAATGGAATTGTAGAAATAAGAGATCCTAAAACTTTCAAAAGATGAGAATCTAGTTCTAGTTGTTCTTGTGGCTTGCCCTGATTCAGCACCTAAATCTACTGTTGCAACCTCTAATAAGAACAATCGACCTGAATTATTTCAGCAAGGTACTGATCAGTAGTTGAAGAAAGCAAAAGTTGCTTCAATAATAGAAAACAACTATTTCTCCAATCACCACTGCTGTCCGAGATAAGTTGAAGTAATGTTTTTGGACCAACGTACTCGGAGAATGTTTCTGTTTATAATCTTATAAGATCAGTTACTCTTAACTAGATACTTGTGTTCTCAACGTTGCCTTTGACCATGACAGTTAACAAATCGGTTACAAGGAGAGCGAACTTAGTTTCCAATTCACTCAAATCTCTTTCTACGTAGAAAATTATCAAGCTAACACAGCAGATATGATTACCTTTTGACATCTTGTACTCATTTTTCAACGCATAGCATGCAGTTTCCAACAGACCAACTTCTCGGAATGCATCCTATAAAGCAATAGCATGCACATTGAAAATCTTATAAACCTTCATAATATCATCCACTGTCAACAAGCGGAAAGAACTCTGTACGACGCTGATGCATAGAGGCAAATTCTCTAAAGCGATTGAACTATGCTGAAAAAAGGAGTTGGATAACACACCTGCGCTTAGTTGAGTTTTGATCTGAATACAAAAGCTGATAAGCTCTTTACATGGGATATGATTGAGCTGGAAAACTGCATGTTCTACCAAGTCCAAAACTTTCAGCTTAATTTAAATGAAATTCGATGAATGCTTTCAGTTCTGCTTACTTGAACTTCTTTGGATTTAGTGTGCATATGATCAACAAATAAGGAGAGAGGATATTCTTTATCCAAGATAAAGTAGTTAGCCGGATCGCTAGTATATATGGAATGTATCGCATCAAGAACAGTAGAACAAATATTATCAAGTTCGGACTGCAATTTTTCACGTTGACAACGGTTTTGTTTTATAAATTACGTTTAAGTAAACTTCATACAGGAGTTTGAACGCTTGAAGATTTCTAACACTTGTGTCTAGACCGAGGGGGGTAGGTAAAACAAAAGTCGGTAGCTGGACTAATCCGGAGCTATGCTGAAAACAGTTATTCCTTCAGCTTTCGTTTTTTAAACCAACTGTAGAGTTTATCTCTTCCGCACCGACACTAACTAGAGAAGTTAGCATAAGAATGAAATGGCGGATAATATCGAAATTATTAAACGGACTGAAAAGAAGAAGTGATATTTTTGGTGAATGCTTCATCTTACTTAGTTAGAAATGTTTTAACAAGATTATAACCATTAGCGGCTAGAAAATCTTCGAGCAAGATATTGGAGTGAGTAGAAGAATCCTGTCAAAAAAATACTCGATACACGTCGACTGTAAAATCAAACCTTCAATATACATAGCAAGCAGAGAATCATATCTACTGCTTCTTGTGTACTTAGATGTTCATTCCCACAATTTGTAAGATATAGACGAATGCAATTTCGGTTGTGTATATAGCTAATAGCCAAAGGGTTCAATGCCTGTAAACAGTTCATCAAAGAAAGATTCCAAACGCTAAAATTGAACCTTATTACTAAGTAATTGCAGAGTTCGAGCGATTGTCTTTCGCCAAATTACGTTATGAGGAGGTACGAATGAAGATCCACCCGCGAATAGAAGCAAAAGGTCATCTTTCCTAACCAAATCGTCGATAACAATACTAAACTCAGTATTATACATGTAGTGATGAAAGCTACATACCTATGCACACATAACTTTTCTAATATTGAGAACATAGCACCCTCTAGAATTTCGAACTGAGCACAGAGCTCAGGAACATTGGGTAAATCCAGGAAGAGATAAAGGGATTTGATCAAAGTGGTAGGGAATGAAGATTGTACAACAGATCTAATGATTTTTTCTTCATTTCTTCAAAAATTATTGTATTCACTGAATTTGTGGTGGGCTTACATGCATAATAAATAATTTAAAGATTTCAACATTGCCCATCCTTTACTGTTTGCTGAAGGTTGTAGAAAGGTGGCAATTTCAGTAGCAGCTTCTACAGTACCTTGACTGGTAGCTCTGAACAAACAATCAAATGTTTTAGCGATTTTAAGTAGGATTACCTATGCCTGACTTCTCGAACGAAAAAGCTCGTCAAATAAAAAAGAAAATTTGAAATATCTTTGAACTCTTTTTCTAATTCTGCTGGATTATACATTTCCATAACCTACAATGAGCGTTTCTTAAAAATTTTTCGGTTCAACCAACTTTCGAGAACAATGGTAGTAGTTTACTGGGATCACCCTCAACATTTTGGGAATTAGCGCTAAGTTTAGATATCTCCAGAAATGTTTTTCTTAAATGTGAAAGACTTAAAGCTCGGTCTGTCATTCCACTCAAGCTGAACGATATACCTAATCGAAATGTATTATTGATTATTTTTCTACTTACATCAAACTGACCGTGTTCAACACAAAATTAAAAATAAACAATGCCGTTCATACTTTTCATCATTCCTGTGATGTTCTTCTGGTGTTTCAACAAAACTTCGTTACACACAGAAAAGTAGACTAATCAATTTGGTCTGAAAGTCACAGCCGTTGCTCTTAGACTATTAAGCGTAGCGTTATCCGCACAAGACCCCGCCATTCGCCCTTTAAAATTTTGCATGATTACTATGTAATTAGAGGAAGACAGTGTTGACGGTGAATGTTACAAAACTCTCTTTACTGTGTTGTTATCTGTTTTAATGTTGAATATAACATGAATAACAATGCATTTGATTGAAGATAAAACTATTTCATTGAAACGATGATGTAACCAAAGAGAAGAAAGTAATCTTTTCTTTATTTTTAACGCTAACGTTGCAGAAACATTACAATCCTGATAGATACTGTATGTAGTCATTGTCTACTCAAAGAAATCAAATGAAAAAACCCATTGCTTCACAAACAACGTTGGTTCTGATATCTGCGGAACAAAAAAGCTAATCGATTGCGTCAAGATGATATAAAAGTTCCAGAGACTGATAAGATACAAAACCACGTTTCCTTGAAATAATCACGTTGTCCTTATTTGTTCTTTGTCCTTCATGTTTTTTCAAACAGGTTTCGAAGGAAATGATTCAATGGCATGTTCTCGTGTGGATGATACGTTGGTCAAGTCCTAGATCTATAAAACCAAAGTTCTATTAACATTTTTTTCTCAGAATCAATTAGAAAAAAATTTATTTTGAAAATGTCCCATTGCGGCGATATTCTAACTATCCCCTTTTCACTAGACATTCTTGAAGCTTAATCGATTATAATAATAATCATTCCTGATGAACGCCTATTCAGCGAAATGTATGAATACATATTGAAATATAACAACATTGAGTGTTGCAACCGTGTGTATCTTTGACAAAAAACTCATTCAGGTGGATGCCAATCTGGTGGGTATCGTTCTGGGACCCTACATACGAAATTGAGTTCACATACGCATTCCCAAATAAAATTGATTCGATCAAAATATACTTCGGAACTTTTTTTTTCTTGTCTATATCAGATTGCAATATATTACAGCACATAGAGCATCAACTGCGGAATCAAAGTTATGCTTCATCGTGGGGCGGGACTTCAACCAAACCTGCCCGCTCTGTCTATGATTCAAGAAATACCCATCATGACCGTACTCGTGATCAAAGAAATCAAGAAACATTTCTTTTTTGTCTTTTTTCTTCTTTCGAGCTCTCTCACTAACTATTCTGTTCAGAATTAGTTTTATATCTTCCAGGAATTAAGATGTCGGCTAATCTAGGCAAGACTTTGAGCAGTATCACTGAGTTTGGGAAAGACACTCCTTTGGTTAAACTGACCAGGCTGGCTAAAGAGTTCAATGTAACCTGCAATATAGGTCTTTCTATCTATCAAGTTCTTTTTTTATTAGAGCTTACAGCTATAAAGTTGGAATACTTGAATCCTGGCGGCTCGTGGCACTGTCGTAACTCTCGTCAGTTAGTTGAAGTTAGAAAATGATTGGTCTCCTGTTAAATCATTCTTGTGTTACAGGAAGCAGAGCGTAAACCTGATCCACAGACTCTGAGAATCGTAAATCATATTGTATGTGGATGTGTGCCAAGCTTTGCAGTTAGTTTGGGTGTAGTATGTGCTAGCAAAGGCTATAAGTGAGTGTAAGCTATGAGTTTAACCTTTTAATAATTCTTTCAAGACTTACAACTGTCGTTCCACTTCATATTTCTCCTGCCACTTTGAATGTCTTAAAACAGTTAGATGTCGAGGTAAAACATGTGAATAGCTCGAATTCATTAAAGTTTGAAGGTGATCCAAAACGAAAACTTCATTGCTTATGCTCAAGAACTTGAAGTACCGAACAAATATCTGATTTCACCGGTGAGAGCAATAATAAATCCTAATAAAACTTTTTTTATAGCATACTGAGGAAGCCATAAACAATGGTGCGATGAGCGAGTTAGATTTGGTATTATATAATTCATCATGAATCGTAATAAAAGAGTTTAGGGTAAAGTTAAGAAAGTGTTCTTACCAGACAATACCGGAGAATCTGTTTGTGGAGCTAAAATGTTTTTCAAAGAGTTTGCAAATGATATCGAAGTTAATCAGTAGGAATAATGATAAATAAACAATTTTAAACTCAGGTACATGCTGTTTCATGCCAGTTCCATAGTGATGATGTTATCACGGTTGAAGAGAGAGTTAATGCTTTCGATGGCTCCATCAAATTTTCGAAAGTCGAAAAAGAAGTTTGTCTCGAGCATGGAAAAGCAACTTTCATTATCTTCTCCAGGACGCTTACAAAATGGCCAGACGTTTGATTCATGAGGAAGGAATAATGTGTGGACCTTCAACTGGAGCAGCTCTTTGTGATGCGCTGAAAAACATGCAAGGCTTAAAAACAGATGATTACATCGTCATTGTTGCAGAAGACGGAATACGAGACTATATGTAATTTTCTTTTGAATGTTGTTATTATCTGTTCAATTCAGAGATGAATTCTTGGACAACTCTTGGTTGTCATCGCAAGGAATCGAAAGTCCCTACGTCTTGAGGAGTGCAGTGCCTAATGAGTGAGTTACATTAACAGTTCAACAACTCATCTTCTCTCTAGACATTTCGATCCTTCTGTACTGATATATGACCCAACCACGTTATCGAGAAGCTGGACGAGAGACGTCGATCATAATAAATGGACCAATTTAACATGCTCCATAAAAAGTCCTAGGTAATTCAACCAGACTACCGTGAAAACTTGTTCGCAGACTACAGAGACCCAATGGTGTTGTCAACAGTCTTCTTGATATGATTGGAAATACCCCATTAGTCAAATTACAGAAATTACCTGAAATGCATGGGGTTAAATGCAACATATGTTAGTTAAGTTTCAATTTTGACATAAATTTATCTTTTACAGATGCGAAATGCGAATTTCTGAATGCGGGAGGCTCAATCAAAGATAGGATTGCTATCCGAATGATTGAAATTGCGGAGCAGGAAGGCAAACTTTCTCCTGGAATGACTATAATCGAACCAACTTCGGGAAACACAGGAATTGGACTAGCTTTAGCTGCAGCTGTTAAAGGATACAAGTATTGATCGATTGACTGAAGTCTCAGTTGCATTCATTTTTAGATGTATCATTGTTATGCCACAGAAAATGTCTAAAGAGAAAGCGGTAACTATGGAATCCTTGGGAGCAATCATAGTAAGAACCCCCAATGAAGCTGGTTTCGATTCTGCGTACTCGCATATTGGAGTAGCTTTGAGATTACAATCAGAAATACCTGGTAGTATTATTCTCGATCAGGTGCGTTGACGTGATAATTGATTTCTTAAATATACTTCAGTATCGGAATGTTGGAAACCCATTGGCTCATTATGAACAAACTGCAGAAGAGATCTTGGACGCACTCGATGGACGAATAGACTATTTGGTAGCAAAAATAGATAATTCTGCGACATGAAGCTTCTTCAGGTTGCTGCTGCCGGCACTGGAGGAACTGTAACTGGATTATCAAGAAAAATCAAAGAGGTAGCTCCAAACTGTACTGTGATTGGTGTAGATCCATTTGGATCTATTTTGGCCGATCCCGATGACAAAACGTCTCACTTTTACGAAGTTGAAGGAATCGGTTATGATTTCGTGCCTGGGGTTTTAGACCGAACTTCCGTTGATTCTTGGCAGAAATCATTCGATGAGGTATTTGCGAATTCTGTGCGTGATGTGAATTTTCTCGCTTAGTCATCTTTCTCGACGGCAAGGCAGCTGATAAAGTACGAAGGAATACTTTGTGGAGGCTCATCAGGAACTAATGTTTACGCTGCTCTTCAGTTAGCGAAAAAATTACCAGACTCTGCCAATGTTGTCGTCGTTTTACCAGATGGAATTAGGAACTATTTGTAATATTTCTGAAATTGAAGAATCCCAAGCTAATTAATCTTTTGCAGGACCAAGTTCTTAGATAATAAATGGCTAGATGACAGAAAAATGCTCACAAAGATCTAGATATTTCTCCGGATATTTGTTAATAAAGATTTGCATCTATAATCCTGTTCAGTAATATACATACTCAAGGTTATTTATCTTTCTTGTTTGGGCTTAGGCTTAGGCTATCAAGGTTACAAACGAAACTGAACTGAAACAAAACATCACAAAAGTGCAGCTGGGTAGAAGGAAAGTTATGGAATGGAAACTTATTTGTTCCCCCGGTAACTCGGAATCCAGACATAGGAATGAGAATCTCATCACGTATTTTTATGTGAGAAATCCAACGGAAATCTAAGATGGCCCAAGGCATGTGAATAGCGTTCCTCGTAGTTAGTTGTTGTAGTCTGAGGTCACCCTTACTTCTTTTGTTTTTATAGATTTCTCTTTATTATTCCTACGATCAATAACTTACAGGCTATCGATCAACTTCCTGTCTGAGT